GAGAATTATCTTGTTATAGTTTTTACTGTATCCACAACAGTGTTGGATTCAAAGTCACCAAAATACTTGATGATACTTCTGAAACCAGTAGAATGATGTGTAATTTTTTCAGGACTTTCACACCAACATTTTGACCATTTTAAGTGTTTTAAAGTGAAAGAAGCAAAAATACCCGTGTTTTGCAAGTGATTTCATTGTGTGATGGAAAGAGTCATATCTAAATATCTAACATATGTATCTAAATAATTGGTGGTAGCGACTGTATTTTTAATTGATTTATGTTTGGATTTTAAGTAATGGGCCTACAGAAAATCCAAATTGCTGAAGTGAAATGAAAAAAAAACTTGTTTAACAAAATTCTAAAAAAATTAAAAACTGAAAAGTAGTGTGTGCATATGTATTCACATCCATTGCTATGAAACCCCTAACAATTACATTAGTAACTACCTTTCCACATAATTAGTTAAATAAAGTCCAGTTGTGTACAATCTTAATGATCAGTGACATGATCTCAGTATATACACCTGTACTGAAAGGCCCCAGAGTCTGCAACACCACTGCTGTAAGAAAGCAGCACCATGAAGACCAAGGAGCTCTCTAAACAGGTCAGGGACAAAGTTGTGGAGAAGTACAGATTAGAGTTGGGTTATAAAAAAAAATCCCAAACATTTACCATTCCACGGAGCACCATTAAATCCATTATTTAAAAATGGAAAGAATATGCCACCACAACAAACCTGCCAAGAAAGGGTCGGCCATCAAAACCCACGGACCAGGCAAGGAGAGCATTAATCAAAGAGCCTACAAAGACACTAAAAATCACCCTAAAGGCACTGGAAAGCTCCACTGTTGAGATTGGAGTATCTGTCCATAGGACTGCATTAAGCAACAGAGCTGGGCTTTTTGGAAAAGTGGCCAGAAAAAAAACATTGCTTAAAGAAAAAAATGAGAAAACACATTTGGAGTTCACCAAAAGGCATGTGGGAGACTCCCCAAGCGTATGTAAAAAGGTACTCTGGTCAGATGAGACTAAAACTGAACTTTTTGGCCATCAAAGAAAACGCTATGTCTTGCGAAACCTCAACACCTCTCATCACCCCAAGAACACCATCCCCACAGTGAAGCATGGTGGATTATACATCAGCAGTGACTGGGAAACTGGTCAGAATTGAAGGACTGTTGGATGGTGCTAAATACAGGGAAATTCTTGAGGAAAACCTGTTTCAGTCTTCTGGATATTTGAGACTGGGACAGAGGCTCACCTTCCAGCAGGACAATTATCCTAAGCATATGATTTAAAGATTGCTGTATACCAGCAGAACCCATCCAACTTGATGAAACACACAATTTTTTCCATCGTTCTTCTCTCAATTCTTTTTGGAGTCATATGGAGTAATTCATCTGTTCTAGAAGATGCAGATGTATGACAATATTGATAAAGAGTAGGATAGTTCTTCTGAAGCCAGCATTTTGTAACAGCTTTTTTACTTGCTGCCAACATGATCTTTAAGAGATAGATATCATCTTTGCTTAGTCCATCAGGAATGTGTCCGAGATAGAGGGATGTGAATGTTATATTGATATTAAAACCCAGGGAGATAATTGTTGCTACATCTTCAAAAAAGACTGGAAAGAAGGACAAGACCAGAAGACATGAGTGTGGTCAACAACAAGGATAGCTATGTACCTGTCTGACTGTTTGGGAGTGATTAAAAAGCAAAGTTTTTCCAACAGAAGTCTCTCCAGGTTTGGGAGTTGGTGGGGAATGACTGTATTTCCCAAGCACATAGCTACAAGTCCAGTTATTTCAATTTCCAGCTCTTTTTCCCATCGTTGTTTTAGTCTGTAGTATCCTTGTTCAGTGATGTGATGCCATAGTATAGCTTGCTTATGAGACCTTTATTGTTTCCTGAGTAGTAAGCATCAATAAATATATGAATAAGAGTTGGAAGTTCTCTTGGATTAGAACCTTTCACCTTTTATAGAAATAATCACAGAACTGTAAATACCTATAAAAGTCCTGTCCACCCAACCTGTAAGTTTAACATAAATTGTCAAGCGTTTAAGCTCCCATTTGCTGACAATCTTGCATCTGGCAGTGATGCCAAAATAGATCCACTGTCTGTATCTGCAATCTAACAAAGCTGGTATGAAGTCAGGATTATATGATGGCCATTTAAGTAATTTAACTTCTCTTTGGATTTGGATGTGTTTAACTACTTCTACCCATACTTTCTGTATAAAATTCTGTATTGGTGTGTCTATTAAAGATAACTATATGCTCTTCCACTTGGCTATGTAAAATGGGTTACACCAGAGTACAGGAGGTCTCAACTGTGCCAACAAATAATAATCCCTAAAAGATGGGAGGGCAATGCCCCCCTCTCCTCCGGCAGCCGAAGCATAGAGAATTTCACCCTTGGTCTCTTTGTATCCCAAATGAATCAGGAGATATACTTATTCCATTCTCTAACTTGTTCCTAAGGAATTTTCACTAGGAGTAATATAAAAAGATATAATCATCTAGGGAGAATGTTCATTTTAATTTATCTGACTCTGGTGCCAAAGTCGAGAGGGAGCAAGCCCCACCCACAAAGGTCATCATATTTTTTTACTAATGCCATTATAGTTATCCATATCAAATAACTGTGATAGATCTTTCGGCAAACTTACTTCCAGGTGCTTGATGTGGAATGAGTGCTGGAGGAAGATTCATTCTTTTTTCCCTATTTGATGTATCTAAAGAACGGTTAAGAAGCACATAGAAGTCTCCTCCACAGATAAGGGTCCTGTATGTTTCTGATTCTATCAAATCAAACACCTTTCTAAAGAAAGACATGTCACTTCCAGGAGGGGCGTAAACGTTAAATAATGTCACTTCTTTTTCGTCTATTTTTCCATTTATTAAAACAAATTTGCCCTCTTTATCGCTTATTTCAGATATAAATTCAAACCAAATTGAAGTGGATATCAACCCCCCCCCCCCTTTTTTTTTACCATTCTTATATGATGAAAAGAAAGTACTCCTAAAGCCCATTTTTAATGTTCAGCACCAGAAAGGTGAGTCTCCTGCCATAAGGCTATATTTATCTTCTCCTTTTTGATTTTTGCAATATCTTGATCGGGTTATTTAGCCCATTTACATTTAGTGAGAGTATGGTTTAATGTTCATACTGCATCAATTTTGCTGAAAGGTTGTACTTGTGACATCCCAGACCTCAAGAGATGAACAGTGTATAATAAAACAAAAAAAAAAATCAAGTAACTACAATAAAGAACATTGAACTGTGATTCCAACAGGAAAGGTACAATGTTGCCTTTAACAATGAGGGGGGCGGGCCACTAGGTGGGGCCCCTCAGTAGCAAAAGAGAAAGTCTTGCGGCGCTTGTCTATGGTCTGTAGGTATCAGCCTTACCTTGTAAATGTAAAAAAAGAAAGAAAGAAAAGGAGGAGTTGGCTAGGCCGGGTTTTTTAATGTTATTAATATAATCAAATGAGATAGAGTACCTGGCTGCAGATACAGATACAGAAACCAGGTTGTTAAGAGAAAAAGGCCAGTTACTCTGTCACTTTTTTTCCGGTAATTGGAAGTTGAAAATAAGCCCTCCCCTGCTGCAGATCCTAACTCCGTCCTCCGATACTCCTTCAGCCTCTCCTGGATCTGCCTTTGGAACCGGGTCTTATCTCCGCCATGTCAGGTCTCAATCATCTCCCACAAAAAAAGTTGGGTCAGCATTTCTTCTGAAATGTCCTTGCTCCTAGTCCCATGAATGACCTCATCCACAGTGAATCCCTGTTTCCGTAGATCATTTGCTGCTTGTGTTGTGTTGTTATAAAGGACGGTGCCCGTCTCAAAGAAAACGTGCATTCTGGTTAGCGGGGTCTGGAATCGCATTCTGTTCTTTTTCAGCACCTTCTTAATTGGTATATATTCCTTCCTCTTGTTCTGCACATCCATTACAAAGTCATGATCAAAGTACATTTGTTTGTTTTGGACGCACAGTTCCTTCTTTCAAGCTGTATACAAAATCGTCTTTATAATTGAGAACTGGAGGAACCAGACCACCAAAGAGTGCAGTGGGGCACTTGTAGGTGGTTTTGGTACTCTATTCTCAGGTCAGCATCATGGCTCAGGCCCAGATGACCCCCAAGTTCCAGCTTTATCAAGTTTTCAATAATCGCCACTACAGAGGGGCCCTTGGCTTCCTCCGGGAGCGTCCTTCCAAATCAGACACTTTTTCCTGTAGTGCCCGTTGATTTTTCAGTAGCTGGGAAAGGGTATCCTTGACTCCATTGTCCCATCGTTCCATATTGACCATTCCTTCCTTCATTGCTCCGATGCATTCCACTGCTCCTTCTACCTGTCTTGTCGTATCTTGTATTTTCCAATTTATGGAATTTATTCTCCCGAAAACACTTGGAATTCTGAGAGCTCTCTTTTCACTTCGGCCTGGAGCGTTGCCATACTCAAAACTTCACTCAGAGTGCAAAGTTTTGTTTTCTCTTCGACCTCCATCTTGTCCTGTTGGGATTTCCCTGGTCTGAACTTCTTTCTCATTTTCTCATTCCACATTGTTTCGTAACCAATAACTTTCTTTCTCATTTTTGTCCCTGTTCATTATTATGTCGATGTAACAGTTGAAATGAGTTAAGATTCTCATATTAGGGGCAATTTAAGACTTATACTGGAGCTCTGTAACTAGGCTGCCATGACGTGTAGCACGCCACTAGAAGTCCAAGTTTTCAGATTTTTTTGTCTTATTTTTTGTTTGTTTCACGATATAAAATGTTCCATATCTTGTGCCCAGTGGTGGGCATGTTGTGTAAATCAAATGATATGAACCCCCCAAAATCCAATTGAATTCCAGGTTGTAAGGCAACAAAACAGGAAAAATGCCAAGGAGGGTGAATACTTTTGCAAGGCACTGTATCAAACTGGTGAGTTATGAATGATGAGTTGTGTTGTGTGTAGCGCGTGTAGTGTGTGTGGTGTGTCTACCTCCAACAGGACAAAGAAAGCTCCATGAACATCCCCCTTCTTCTCCAGCAGATAGGCTGTGGCCTCACTGTGGTGGTACTTCTCTGTCGTCTGCAATGAGACAAACATAAACTACATACTACACATAAACCTAAACTGTTTAGGTAAACTGTGCAGGTATAACTCTGTACATCCATCCATCCGTCTGTTTCTGTTTGTGTCTGTCTGTCTGATTCTTGTGACTGTAATATCTCACGAACACCTTGATGGAATTTCTTGGACTTGGACTCTGGCTGATTAGAGGCGGAGCCTGATGGTAGTAGGATAGTAGGTAGGTAAGTAGACAGACTGCTGCATTATAAAATCATAGCAGCTTTGTGACAGTGACCCCTGCTCTTCCTGTGACATGAATTCTACAGTTATTTAACTCCTGTACACAAACACACACATTGCACCTGAACACAGCATAACAAAGTAAAGCACACAGTACTTGTATGGCCTCCTCTAGTCTGTAGTACTGGGAGGTCTGGAGGAAGCTCAGCAGCTGCTGGGGTGCAAACCGGCACAGTAAGTCCAGCAGAAGCTTGTGGAGTTCACGTTCCAGAGGCAGGACAGTCCCTGAATGATGGCCTTCCCTGAGAGACAGAAAAGGGAGGTGAGGAATAGTAGAAAGGTATGACCAAGGAGGACTGGATCTAAATTCAGACAAACTGCAGGTCTGAGGTAGCAGAGTTATCACTAGAATCATATGAAGAACATACCGAGGCTCCAGGAGACAGCTGAGGAACTGGAAAAGCAGCTGGTCATCCTAAAGACACAGGGACAGTAGACTACATTGTTATCTGACCCTAAACAGAGAATATGAATTGTTTGAGTATCTCCACTCTATCAGAGATACGAAGCAGAGACGGATCCTGACCAAACACAGCCTCAGTGACCAACAAGCAGTAGAAACAGGAAGGTACAGATAAACACGGCTGCCCAGAGGTGGTCACAGCTCGACAGGGGAGGAGACAGAGATGTACTTCCTCCTCCACTGTTCCACAAGTTCTCTCCAGTAAGAGACATCCACAACATAGAAATAACCAAGAAGATCCCAAACCTCCAGATGTTAACCCCAGAAGACACCAAACCTCTAGATGTTAACCCCAGAAGACACCAAACCTCCAGATGTTAACCCCAGAAGATACCAAACCACCAGATGTTAACCCCAGAAGACACCAAACTACTAGATGTTAACCCCAGAAGACACGAAACCTCCAAATGTTAACCCCAGAAGATACCAAACCTCCAGATGTTAACCCCAGAAGACACCAAACTACTAGATGTTAACCCCCAGAAGATACCAAGCCTCCAGAAGTTAATCCCAGGGGATAACAAAATTTTAATCATCTGCAAACTGCTTTGGCAACAACATGTTTTTGTTAAACTGGACATTGTGAGTCCAACAATGTTACAGAACGCAGTGCTAGAATGGTGCAGTGCTAAACTGGAGCAGTGATTAAATGGTGCAGAGCTAAACTGTTGCAGTCATCTTTAAGGATGAACATCAGGGACAAATTAAACTTTCCTTTTTGTCATCCCACCTGCAGCTGCAGCACTGTGAGGGTTCACAGGTGTGGTTAGCTGGACAAGTTCTCTTTTGAACTAGCCAGACTGTTTTCCTCTGTGCTGTGGTTTTAAAAAAATATTTATATTAAATACACAGCTGAAGCTTTTTTCCCTTATTTTGAAATGCGCTGCAGTACTGGTAGTCAGTAGAAAACAGCTGTTTAAAGAAAAGAGGTGAACAGGAGCACTAGGTGAAAGCTGTGAAATCCAACTCGCTCAATTTGTGTAAATGCAGATACTGATTGGACAGCAGTGACTCAGGTTTTAATACCTTTACAGTACTACACTCTTCCTCAGACACCATCAAGCAAGTCACATCTTATATATTTTCCACTGAACAGCTTTCTCTCCTGTGTTTTCCTGGGTAAAGAATCTGTGACAGTCATCAGTTCAGTGAAAGTGAAAATGGCCTTCAGCATTGTTGATGCAGATGCTTGTCAGTGAGTGTTAGAAACTGTCAGGACTAATGCCACCAGCTAAAGATATTTAAGCTGTAACAGGGCAGGATAGTGAGTAGGAAGTGACATCACACACAAGAGGAGGAAGGAGAGGTTACAAATCAGAGACACCTGAGCTGGGAGAAAAAAAAGCTAAAACAAAGGAGAACAAAGGAGGCTGAAGCAGAAACAGTATGAGAAGTGAGACAAGGAAATTAAGGAAAAGAAACCAGTACTGGGATCTTGAACTGAAAACTCTGGGTAAATTGGAGGTGGCAAAAGAAAAACAAAAGAAAGGATCAACGGATCGGTTTAAGGAGAAGAGGATTGAGCTCCGGGGAACAGGCGACAGTCTCAGGCCGGTTTGGATCTCAGCGAAACTCTTCTCTCTGTCCAGGTCAAAGGCTGCACTCTTTCAGAGAAGTCCCTTCACCCCTCATTCTCCAGGCTTCTCCAGCTGACTGCCCAACTCACCTGCCCTATCACATGCCCACACACACTTACACTCACCCTCAAACCCCCCCCCACTGACTTCCATTGCATTCATTCATTCAGTTGCCTTCATTCTTCCATACACCCTCTCACCCCATCCTCATACACCCACACCCCACAGAACTCTTATGAACTGAAATGAACTGAACTGAACTATTACAACCTGAAATGAGCTGAACTGCTCAGGGTTCAGTCATAAACCACACACCTGGCCACTCACACTTATTCCCTTGCGCACACACCCTCTAGCTTAACATTTGAATATAATTATTATAAGCCTTATTACTGAGGGAATTTAATTTTTGTGAATTAACTATTTAATTTCTGTAAACTGATTTTTTTGAAACCAGTATTTATGATTTCTTTAAAATGATGATGATGATAATTGTTTTGGTGGTTGTTTCATTGAATATATGAACAATGAGACCTTGGTTATGTTATTTTTTTGTAGCATTGAAGAAGTAAGCAGCTGGGTTTTTGTGCTCTCTCCTCTGGCACTTACCTAATTTGAATATTTGATAGGTTTACGGTAGATTACCATTTGCCTGTCTGGCGCCCAACTTTATTCTTTTTAGGAGAGGCAGCTTCTACGCTACAAAGTGTAAATGGACTTGCACTTATACAGCGCTTTTCTAGTCTTCCTGACCACTCAAAGTGCTTTACAATACTTGCCACATTCACCCATTCATTCACATTCATATATCACACTCATACACTGATGGAACAGCCGACCTTCTAATAAGTGGACGACCCGCTTTACCTCCTGAGCCACAGCCGCCCAAATAATTAATAACATCATTACCTTAAGCTCAGAGATGATTTGCTGCACCTCTTCAGTGAAGTGAAACACCACCATGTCAGCTGACCTGCTGGGGTCAAGGGTCACCAGCTCCTGTGCACATATGTTGGAGTATGTTAATGCAAAGGCAGTGACAGACATGTTGTTACCCAGACAACATCTTCCTTCAGCTGTGTCCTGTTATTTGTAAAACTTCTAGATTAAAATCAAGTCATGTCTCCCTTTCTGCAGGGAGTTCAGGTTTTCCTGATGTTAAAAGGCTGGTTCACAGAAATGATGAAAGAAAATATCCCCCGTAGTATCCAGAAGCTTCCTGGACATACTTGATTACACATCCTATCTAACATGGAACTGCCTCGGGATCCCCCATGAGTAGCCTTGAGATGTGTGGGGAGAAAGACCTCTTTCCTCCCAGACTGTGGCCCAGTATGGATCAGCACCAGAACCTGATGGATAAAGGTTTGTATGTGTGTGTGTTCTGACCTGAACATGCTGTAGTACTTTGTCCTTGACTGTTTGTTGCTCCTCAGGGCTGTAACCAGGCATGGACAGCAGGTTGTGGATGTAGCTGAAGATCTCCACCTACATACACACACACGCACACACACATGCACACACCATCATCATACATGTAAACTGACCACATGTCCACATGTTCACCAGACGCATGTTAGCTTAATGAAATGTGTGTTACCTTTCTCAGTGGGTCTCTCAGGTAGCAGTCAACGATCCTGTCATACAGATGTTGCTTCTCATACAAACATTCACAGATCTGGTAGCTGGAGGTGAAAAAGAATGTATGGTATTAATGACAGTAACTTAGTGTAACTTATATCCACTGTTATCCCTGGTGTTCCACAGAAAAAATAAATATCTATATGAATTATGGATCAAATAACATTAAATGTGTATTGCTCATAGGGAATTATCTCTGCACCTCAGTGCTGAGCCTTTAGCCTCTTTTAAGTTTTTTTTTTTGGTTTTATGTCAAAGTAACTGTTTAGTTCAGTCTCATCATTTGTTTCCAACAGCAACAGACAGCTGTTTTCATCTCTGATAAACCTACTGAACTCTACTTGCTCAGAACCAAAAAAATAAAGCAGCAGACAGACTCAGGAAGAGACCAGCTGTGGAATCTACAGAGTTCCCGTCTTTGGTTCCAGTCTTTGGTCTCAGTCTTTGGTTCCAGTCTTTTGTTCCAATCTTTGGTCAGTGTTCTGCCCTTGTTAAAAAGTCTCCTTCCTTTACTAGACAGACACACTGCTCCTTCAACACACCATAGACAGTGAATGATGGATTTAGTGAGCACCACTGCTTTATATAGACAGTATGTGAACAGAGTAAAAAGACGATGCTTCTATAAGTGATTCTAAAAGAGGATGGATGTAGATGCTTTGACTACCCGAATCCACAATGTGCTCTCTAAAAAGGTGTCAAGGAAAAACAAAAATGTGGTAAGCAATGGTAAGCAATGAGGGCCATATTACAGAAAAAAAGGAATAAGCACCACCTACTGGCTGCATATTGAACCAAAACCCTTTTTTTCTCAAGCCAGAACAGTCAGATACTCACAACTTGGCCTTCTCCGCCAAAGCCAACAGCCTGCCTTCATTAAACTGGACCACACCCCCAACCTGTAGCAGCTCCAGCAGGACCTACAAGCCAGTTACAGTAAGACCAGTCACATGAGAGGATGAAGTCATCTAGCACAGCACAGACTGTGGGCACAGTGTGTGTGAAACTGGTGTGTTAACCAACCTGCTGCCTCTCAGTGTGTCGAGAGTCGTCGTCTGGGCAGCACAGGAACTCCAGAACCTGCAGAGACAGTAAGATGGAGGTTACTGGTGCTGGAGGTTCTGCTCTAAAGTGATGTAACAAAACAATAATGGCAATAAGTCATGTGTTAACTTGAGTCCAAACTTTTGACTGGTACTGAGGTACTGTATATGGTATAAATACAATTAATTACCATATTAAACAATATCAATTCAATAAAATTGAATCAGGTGAAACCTGATTTATCTAATGTTGTATAGAGCTAAGCGGCACAAGAGAAGGATAGCTGGTAATCAAACATGACACCCAGGTGGCTTGTGACCTTGGTTTGGGTAAGAGATGAAAAAGTGATTTTGATCTTGATATCATGATGAAGAGACTGATTGGCTGGATTACTAGGAATTCAGTCTTAGAGAGGTTAAGTTGAAGGTGGCGTTCCTTCATCCATGTGGATATGTCAGAGAGACAGGCACAGATGCACAGAGAGACCATCATCATCCATTGTCTGGTGGGAACAGGTATAGTTGGGTGTCGTCTGCATAGCAGGGATATGAGAAGCCATGTGAGCAGATAACTGGACCTAAGAAGTTGTGTATACTCTAAAGAGGAGGGGTCCCAGTACTGATCTTTGGGGCACTCCTGTGGGGAGGGGATGGGGTAAGGACTTTGTCCTTTTCATGACCCACTGGAGGAGGGTCATGACAAGGACAAAGGAGAGAGACTATCCTTGTAGAAGAGTTTAAAATTTGCTTCTCAGTAGATCTGCAACACACTAGGAAGATCAACAACAGATCAGCTGATGATCATCTACAGATCAGCTGATGATCATCTGATGAACTCAGGACATCTGATTGGTTACCTGATCAAAGAGCTTCCTGTTCACAAAAAGCGTGTTGTCTGGCTTGGCCAACTGTCGAGCCAAAAAAGTGAAGAGCCCGCCCACCTGGGACGGAGTAAAGTCTGGGTTGTCCACCATCACCTAAGTAACCAGAGAGAGATATTAATGATCAAGGCAAATAAAAAGACACAGACAATAACAGCTGTCATAGTAGTTGATGATATTAATAGCATAAAATGACGCTGGCCCCATTCTGACATGCAGCCGTCCAGGTGAGCTAAATACTGTGAGTGTGTTGTTGAGTTTGAACACAGAGATACTGTATACTATCCGAAAAATAATTTGTTATACTCCAACTATAGAGGGTGAACACGTCACTGTGTTTAGTGCCAGTTTGTCTGATTTACAGTGGAAAGGAGAAACAAACAAGAAATGTGATCACTTTGTTTGAAAAGGACCGGATTTCACCCCTCTTCACGCTCCATGTGATCTTTACTATCACCACATAAACAAATACAGCAGCATGACGAATTATTTTACCTGAAGTAAGATGTCCACTATCCTCTGCTGGTACTCAAGGGCCTGCTTGTCATTCTTAAAGTCTTCAAATGTCTAAAATGAAGTAAGAATCAAATCTTAAACAACAGAAAACTATGGAAGCAGATCTCACCTTTCAAAGGAAAAGAAAACAGAGGCTGAACACAAGACTCAGCAACCACGACTGAGAGCAGTTCAGTTCAATATGCATGAAACACATTGTCACATTGTCATTATAAAAATACTGACTCTGCCTAAACTAAACATCTGTATATTGTTGTAGGTGGCCATGACAGGAAGTGATGAGGAACAATGTTATATTGCCATGAGACACAAGCCTCCTGTGATACAAGGATGGTCAAATGTAACAAGAAACCCCTGTATGCAAATGTGCAAAGTAAACTTGAAATAAACACTTGAATTTGAAGCAAGAAAAAAAGCAGAGCAGAAAGAAACATGGCCTCCATTCACCTTTCCTCAGCAGTGCCACTATCAGCTCAGCTGTGTCTACTGAACAACATGGCGGTGTTAATTGTTGTAGTAAATTTTCGCTAAAATATACTATGCATTATAAATATACTGAATGTTGAACTTATATATCCAATGAACCAGTGAACCAGCCTTTGCTGAAGTAGGAATGTTCTAGAATGGAACCTGGAGGGACTAAAGTTTTTAAAAAATGAGAGAAGGGCCCTGAGAACAATGGTGTTTGAGTAGCAGTCATAGCGAGGCCCAGGTTGTGGATGGATAGGAGACTGAGGTTGAGGATAGATAAGAGTCTTCTCGACACCTGGGACTACTACTTTACCCTGGCATCCCTGGTCTGGGGAATTGCCACTTGGGGCTGGACACCATTGTTCCCATGGTTCCCAATAGGTGGAGAGCCCACCTAAGAAGGAACTATGTATGATGATTTATGATGACTGTCAGAAAAGACTCATGCAGCCTGCTGTGACCGGCCATTTATTTGCCTGACAAATTAAAAGCAAGTGAACTGGCCCTTCTACAGGAGATGTGGGTGGTGTTAACCAGATGAATGGTCTACTGTAATATACTATTCAAGATACAGTCATTCAGTCTTTCACCAAGGTAAACACATATTTACCTGTATGACAACAGGTTAAAATTATGTTCAGATATCTCACCATGGCGAGGACATTGAGGAACTCTCGGGTGTCAAAGTGGAGGAGTGTACGAATGAATGGGAAAACCTCCTCCTCCTCTGATGACTCAGCTGAATGGAGACGAATCAGGAACTCAAATACCTGAAACACACACACACACACACAAACACACACACACACACACACACACACACACACACACACACACACACACACACACACACTCCATATAGTCTGATTGACTAACATTGTGACAGACCATGGTGTGAAAATATTGATTAAAAAACTCAGTGATGACTGTAGCTGATACTATTGTGAGCGCCCAGCTCACATAATGAACTGTCATTATGTTAGTCTAACCAAGCTAATGTTAGCCTAAAAAAGTTAATATTAGCCTAAACAAGCAAATGTTAGCCTAAACAATCTAATATTAGCCTAAACAAGTTAATGTTAGCCTAAACAAGCTAACATTAGCCTAACCAAGTTAACGTTAGCCTCAGATGTCAGCTGTCAGAGTTCAGTAACATTTCAGGACATGAACATGTTCGTCAACATGTTCATGTCATGTTGCCAATATAAAGTCAACAACTGAAACTCACTCAGCCTGAACTCTGTGTACAGATCTGATGTCCGTTTCTGAGCTGCTAAGCTGTTTCCTCCTGTAACACCACTTACATACTGGCTTCTGGTTGTTTAGTATTGGTTCTCGTGACATCCCTAGTGGACTGGTTATTTTACAGTGACTACAATTTTCCGTTTCTCCCCACTCCATTAAGGCCAAGAGAGAGAGAATAGAAAGACTAAATCCTGTCCCACTTCCACACTGACACAATCAAGTTTCTCAGCTTTAACTATTACAACTAATCCAAACTCTATACATTCTGCAAAAAACTGAACCAGTAAAATGGAATGACTTTGGAACCTGCAAACCTTTGCAATTATATGAGTACAGGAAACACACAACCCATCCTTTGATGTTCGGCAGATATACAGCATTCACATACCTGGTTCTTGACTTGAACCACAAGGTCTTCGGGGATGTCTCCCAGTGGATACGCTCTTCCTGCAAGACAGCAGCTATGTACACAGCATACATACATACATAGACACACACACACATACATACACACACACACACACACACACACACACACACACACACACACACACACACACACACACACACCCACATTAAGGATACGGTATTCTACAAGCAGTTGTGAGTGATATTATTGCTAAGAATCATGGGCCTGTCAAAGTGTAAAAACTCAACTGAAGGGTTGAAATGAGACATGTTTTTTTTACTAAACACTGACATGTATTTCTTTTCACAGTTTTCATGTATCACTAAGTTGTTTCTTTCTCTCTCTACTGTCTCTCTCTATCCTGCCACCCCTAACATTTGCAGCCAACTCTGTATCTCAACTTTACACAACCCACCCAACAGACATCAAGTGACATCTGACTCAGCTGAGTTGAGTATTTTATTTTATAGTACCAATGGAACTCCTTACAATCACATGAATGTTGCCTGTTTGACAGTGAACATGTCGTAGCAGCTACATATGGAAACAAACCACAGCTGCACAGACAAATGGACAATGGAATAAACTGGATGAACTTACCTTACGTACACCAGAAGTTTGTTTCCCATCACCACTTCCTCGTCTGTCCAAGAAAAACATCACAGTCAAAAACTTACATTTTCTTTTCAAACTCTGTATTATTCAGATACTTAGAACAAGTGGTGCTCTGGGGGGTGTTTTTCAGCCTTACCTGTTAGGCTCCTCCCCTCCCTAAGAGGTGGTCCAATGACTGCAAAGAGTTTCTGAAATATAAACATTAAGTACATAGAGAGGTATGTAATCAATTATTGATGTACAGTTCCTAGTAAAAGCATTTATTAAAAAATGTTTATAAAATTAAAAAAAACATGATTGAAAACAGATTTTGTATCTGTCTGCTGTCACCTGCTCCATCACCTGACCTTGTTTTCCATCACTTTTTTGTAAAGACTCGTATTATGTTCATAACACATTAGCACTGTGGATCAGTCTACATTATAATCTGATGAGTAATACGGTGGAGTTATGAGACTTTGATGATCCCATCGCTGAAATGTTGTAAAGAGATTATAGCTTGAGGTTTTAAAACAGTCAGACCATGTTATTCGTGTAATCTGAAGCTTTCCTGAGCATATAGTTTCATTTTGTTCACGTTGTCATTTCAGTCAAACTGAAATGAATGTTGTTGATGTAGCAATATGACAGTGATGACACAACCTTCAGGTGGAGGACTTACCTCCATAGGTGTGATGTAATCATTCATGCCACTGTTGAAAACGTAGATCATTGCATCATAAAGTTGGTTCTCCCAACACACTTGAACCACCTTCAAACACACACACAGAAACAGGACCTATAGTTAAAATGATATACGTATATAGGAACTGTAGAGACTAATGGATGTTTTCTAAGGTGTCTTTATTCATTTTGGGTGATTGTTGCAATGCCATTATTTACCTATCACACTGTCCACACACACACACACACACACACACACACACACACACACCTGCTGTATGTCCAGGCTGGTGACATCCAGATGGACTATGCATCTCTCCAGGCTGTCCATCATACCATTGCCATGGTAATGAGCCAGGAGGTCCCTCATGATGGGTGTGGTAAGGTGACCAAGGCGGTCCGCCACAATGTATGACTCCAGCGCCTCCAGAAAAACACCCTTAGCAACCATGTTCTCCACAAGCCGAGCATACAGCTGGTTGAACAGCAGGTCTCTATGCACACACACACTTTACATTACATTTTATCAGTGCTAAAACGATAAAATCTGTGCTTTACAACATTTCCTATACTTACTGGGCTACTATGAGAATTAACAGTCCAGTTTCATATTTCACTCACTTATACACATCTATATAGACAGTATATATTCACACACACATATACAGTTTAGTGCAAAAGTTTGCATCCCCTTACTTTTAAATGACAAAAAGAGTAAAACAAAGAAATTTGTTTTCATTAACACAATATTTAACGCATGTTCAGTTGGTACAAATGTTCCTCAAAAGTAAAAATATTCAAAGAGCATATAAAAAGAACGTGATTGTGAAATAGTGGCAATATATCAGTCCAAAAGTTTGTATCCCCCTTTATGAAATGTTATACTCTCCATTACGAGGCCATACCATGAAGTGGTCTTTAGAGGGTAACATTTACAGTTTTTTACGATTGCTTGCACACAAAACTTAAAAATAATGCACAGATTATGAAACTCAACATGCAAGGTGTCAGCACAGACTTGCACAACTATACGTACATTCTCAGCCTCACACTTCTTGCAAAACACTACACAGTGTTTTGCAAAATACCAATCGCACTTCTCTACATTAGACACATCATTCAAAACTGAAAGCCTTTGTGTGCTAATTGCTAAACACTGCCACTGAAACACCACACTGATTTTGTTTCCCCATTGCATTTGTGTTCATATTTACAGCATGCTACCAATGAGAAATGTCAAAAACATACAGTAACAGTTTTTTATACTTAACATATATCATTAGAAAAGTAGAAATGTGAAAAGTGTTTTAGATTTATCACAGTCGTGTGCACTTGGCAGTAGAAAGATCTATATATTTGGTGTTTGTGTGTAAAGTTTGGAAACTAAAATATCATTTTTAGAAGAGTATATTTAGTTTTTGATGTAGTGCTTGCTTTTGCAAGAGATGTAAGATGTTTTGTATTTTGTGTACATGGTTTTGGTTTGTGTGTGTGGAGCTTTGACAAACAGGGCCCTAGTTTCAGGAACTGTGTTTTTGCAATAGTGAAAAACTATAAATGATTATGGAATGCTATTTTGAAGCTTAACTGTACTATATAGATGGATTTTTTGATATTTTACCCAGGGTCTGGGGGGGATGCAAACTTTTACACTCAACTGCATATATGTATGTTGTAGCGGACATATTGTACCTGGGGTCTGGCATCAGGCAAGGCATTAAAGAAGTTCATTGTAAGGACAGACAGAGCTATAGACCCAGAATTGACCCTTTGTTACTCTTCCCACCATGAAACTATCAAATTGGTAGGAAACAGAGACAAAGGATCATTCGTTCTCACAAACAGACCAGTCAGAGAGATCCACAACCAGATCTTGGGTCAAAAGATCCACAGGATCATTTAAATGAATACCAGGCAAACTGGAGAGTATTGACAAGATCTCCAGTTTGTAACAATAGGACTCTGTATATTAATATTTGATTGTTTTTTATATAGAACAAGTAACATCAAAGGGACTGATTATCACACACACAAACTAGTCTTTCCCCTTGTCCCTCTGTCCATCTTTAAAAAGAGTCATAAACTACAACCCACATTCCAATCCTGAGTAGTGACCAGCAGAACAGACTCAGACACATATCTGAGAAAAATATAAAATTAAATATCTAACTGTTCTGTAACCCATGTGATGCTTCTATCTCTATCAATCTCAGATTTTTATCCTCAAGAATGGCTGATATGTAACATACAGGTTTATGACAATGTCTTTCATGTGACCATACTGTCAGCATCCGTCACACAAGGTAACAGGCATTACAGAGATACAGAATGTCTTTATTATTACTATTATAGTCAAAGGACTGCTGTGTAACCATTATTTATTTACTATTAGCTTTAGGGGATGTTTATTATGTTTTTGATCAGTTAACCATTATTTATTAGTATCATTGATAACACTAGTACCTATATGTAGTATAGTATGATTATTTCCACTATAACAATTAATGATTAACAGCAGATACGATAACACCATTACCTATGGGTATAACTGTATTACATATGTACACTGGTATCTCATTATAATTTTAATCTTGATGATTATTAGACATTGCATTTACTCTGTAGATAGTAGTCTAGCAAACAAATTTCTTTATTTACACTCCTGTCCTGTTGTGTTCTTTTGAAGGAGAGACTGGAGATTGAATCAGGAAGTCATGGCTTCTAATATGAGATTGATCAAATGAACCAATAAAATAAATTAAAAAAGGCTGAGGACTGGTGCCCCCTTTCAACAACAGCAAATTTTAAATTGTGGTAATCACAATATAATGTATATACGAGGGATTTTATATATACATAGAATACATTTTGAAAGAGCAACAGCCAACAGGGGAAGTCCAATACTTGGCTGGCCAACCAATGGTGTAACTTCATGACTCGGTCACGTGGCATTTGGCTGATGAATGATGAAACTTTATCACTCAGCTCTCATCAGTCAGTCAGTCAATCAGAAGGAATGGACAAACTTTTACATACAAATGTACATACTTACTCTCTCTGTAGCAGGAGGCAGTAATCCACCATGACAGGAACCACATCCTGAACACACCAGAGAGAGAGAGAGAGAGAGAGGAGACATTGATTTGTAATCCTCACCCTCCAAATGTGTCTGACATACTCCAACAGTCCTGTAAGATTAACTCAAGTAACCTATATGTCTCATAACTCTCAACCTCACATCACACATCATGAAAACCCTGCAGCAGCTGCTTCTCTGCCTTCTGAGGCCACAGGTTGAACATGCACTAGACCCCCTACAGTTTGCCTACAAGGACCATATTGGAATTGATGATGCTGTCCTTTACATGCCCCCTGGGCCCATTCTTACTTGGATGAGCCAGGTGGTTACATGCGCAGTGTTTCCTCTAGAATTCTTTTTTAGCAGCAGGGGCAGACATTACATATTAAACATATTACCTACATCAGTGTACAGACTGAATAACAAAAGGTATTACATTGAAATAAACTGACACTTCACTGCAACACAAACTAGAACATAATCATTAACCTCTATTTACACACAGTGCCTCTTCAACCAATTGCTGACAGCCTGAGGCATATTTGCCTCAGTGGCAAAGTCTGCAGCCTTGTTGAGTGCATTTAATTTTTCTTGTTTTTTTTTTAAATAACTAAGGCTCTTAACTGACTTGGTGTTATACTGTGATAATGCTGGGGCAGCAGCATGTCCGATATGAACACAAAGAGACTGGACAAGCTGGTAAAAAAGGATGGGTCTGTGCTTAGCAGGAGTCTGGACTCACTCAGGACTGTTGTGGAGAGATGCATGCAATGTAAGATGGAGGCCATCTTGGACAATACCAACCATCCTCTCCACAACATTCTGGCAGGACAGAGAAGCAGCTACAGCTAACATCTCATCTCACTGCACTTCAGAACAGAGAGGTCCAGGAGATCCTTTGTTCCCACGGCCATCAGGCTATACGACACCTCAGCCAAAGGAGTGGACTAATCTAATTATTATCTATTTATTATTAACTGTTTTTATTATTATTATTAATATTATTATTATTATTATATCAACAATGAGCTAATGGACACATGAATTTCCCCTAGGAGATAAATAAAGTATCTATCTATCTATCTATCTATCTATCTATCTATCTATCTATCTATCTATCTATCTATCTATCTATCTATCTATCTATCTATCTATCTCTTTTATCTGACAATTTCCTATTAACATTTGAGTTCAGTGATTATTTGTATGGGAATGGTCTGCTTGAAGATTTTCAGTCAGGATTTGGAGTCCATCATACCACAGAAACAGCTCTGGTTAAGGTTAGTAATGATCTCCTCATGGCCTCAGACAATGTACTCGTCTCTATACTTGTCCTACTAGTTCTTAGCGCTGCATCTGACACCATTGATCACAGAATCTAACTGCAGAGACTAGAACATGTCATTGGCATTAAAGGAACAACACTAGGCGGATTTAAGTCATACTTATCAGATATATACATTAGGTCATGTTAATAAAGACTCTTCTATGCTCACAAGAGTTAGTCATGGAGTTCCACAAGGTTCTGTGCTAGGACCAATACTTTTCACCCCATATATGCTTCCTTTAGGGAATATTATCAGAAAGAACCAGATAAATTTCCATTGTTATGCAAATGACACCCAGCTGTACTTATCTATGAAGCCAGGTAAGACTAACCAGTTGGTCAAACTTCAGGCGTGTCTTAAAGACATAGAGATCTGGATGACCAGCAATTTTTTACCTCTTAACTCAGACAAAACTGAAGTTATTGTACTTGGCCCTAAACACATCAGAAACACATTATCTGATAATATACTTAGTCTGGATGGCAGTAAGAAACCTTGGGGTCATTTTTGACCAGGACATGTCTTGTTCTTCACACATAAAACAAGTCTCTAGGACAGCCTTTTTCCACCTGCACAACATTATGAAAATTAGAAACATCCTGTCTCAAAAGGATGCTGAAAAACTAGTCTATGCATTTGTTACCTCTAGACTGGACTACTGTAATTCTTTATTGTCATGATGTCCGAATAACTCAGTGAAAAGCCTGTACCTGATTCAAAATGCTGCAGCGCAAGTACTGACAGGAACTAGGAAAAGAGATCACATCTCTCCTGTGCTGGCTTCTCTGCATTCAATCCTGGTAAAATCCAGAATAGAATTCAAAATCCGCCTGCTCGTCTACAAAGCCATTGATGGTCAGGCACCATCATATCTTAAAGAGCTGACCTGTTATCCCAACAGAACACCCTGCTCTCAAAATGCCGGTCTACTTATGGTTCCTAGAGTTTCTAAGACTAGAATGGGAGGTAGAGCCTTCAGCTACCGTGCTCCTCTCCTGTGGAACCAGCTCCCAGTCTGGGTTTGGGAGGCAGACACATTCTCTACATTTAGGATCAGACTGAAAACTGTCTTCTTTGATAGGGCTAATAGTTAGGGCGGGCTCCATTGGTTATGCTGCTATAGAAATAGACTGCTAGGGGATTCCAATGATGCATTGAGCGCATTCTCTCTCTTTCTCCATTTATATGGTAATACATCACGAACGTAGTTTGTGCTTCTCTGTGTGTGTCTCTCTCTCTGTCTTCATTCTGCATGTATCTCTGTTTTGGAGCAGCAGGATCCAGATCTGCCACTACAAAACTCATTGTTACCATTTATTATTAGTAGTAGTTGTAGTAGTAGTAGTGGTAGTAGTAGTATTGATAACACTAGTACCTATAGGTATTAGTATGATTTCCACTACAGCAATTAACAATTACCAGCAGATACAATAACACCATTACCTATGGGTATAATACCAGTCACCACCAGTCAAGGCAGACGGTCGGTGGAGAAGGATGAGATGGAGGAGATGAAGAGGTGAAGAGGAGATTTTGATATAGATATCGTCATGAAGAGACTGATTGGCAGGATGACTAGAAGTTCAGTCTTAGAGAGGTTTAGTTGAAGATGGTCCTCCTTCATCATTATGGATATGTCAGAGAAACAGGCACAGATCCACACAGAGACTTTGGGGGTGTTTAGTGGGAACAACAGGCATAGTTGCATGTCCTCTGTATAGTAGTGATATGAGAAGCCATGTTAGCAGATAATTTGACCTAAGGATGTATTTTATTTTTTATATATATTATATTATATTAAATTTGAGATACTTATACTTTATTTGCTACTTATATTCATATGATTATATATGAACTACAAGTTGGGTGAGCATTCCACTGGAAGCCCACTTTTCATGTTCAATGGCCTATCATTAGTCCCTGCAGTGGGTATCAGTCTGTGCTGAGATACTGTATATGTACTGGGCCCATTGATAGGCAACCCCATTCTTGACCCTGAACTAACATACCTTTAAGGCACCTTTAACTCCTACTTTAACACTACTCATCCATCGCTCAATTGTCCATCACAGTATAACTGGTTCTAATCGTCTTACCAGTAGCCACTAATTAGCAACCCCTCTGGTATGAATTATGTTCCTTGACCAGATTTATCTTACCAGATAAAGGAACATGTTTAAAAATTAATGTGCGTGTGAATGTAGGAGCACTAGCAGGTCAATAGGGTCATCAGGTGGGCACCCTCTGAGTTACTGGTATTTTGTTGAGTTAGGCCCACGACACAGAGGGCAGTGTTCCAGTGTCCCGGAACAACCGCCCTGTTTAACTGCACCCACATGCTCAACACAAAATTCTCTGTAACAGGTTATATTCCCTTTTGTCTACAATATTATCAGTTAACAGCATGCTATCTAACTACAACCAGCTAAAACCACGTCAAGATAGACAGCTTGCTGCTCAATCCACCAGGTAACAGCCAAATAACCACCCTCAGATTCTTCATCTTAACACATGTACAAAAGACCTAAGGAAAGGAAGGAGCCCAACCTGAAAGAGGTTGAGGAGGCTTTCCACAAGACCCAGCTCAGCACCTGGACCCAGAGGAGTGCCATATGTTGTCAGAAACCCTTGTGGTGACTATGGAAAGTCATCAAGGTCATCTGGAAGATGGGGGAAGGTTGCCCAGCAGTGAACATGTGCAGAGGCCATTTGGAGTCCAAAGGAGGAGAGCTCAAGTATAATCCAGTAGTTCAGGACCATCTCACCCCTCAGTTTTGAAGACATTTTTCAGAATTGTTGCCGAAAGATGTCAGAGTTCATCCTGAGGAATGCATACATTGATACGTCTGTGCAGAAGGGAGTGGTCACCCAGCTGATCTGGGAAGCAAAGAAAGGGAAAGGAGACCTAGCAGCCCTGTGGCTTGATGTTGTCAGTGCCTGAGAGTAAATCCCACTTAGCTTGTGGAAACCTCAATCTACCTACATCATGTTTCAAGGAAGATTGGGGACCTCATTCTGCTGACTATTACAGCAGCTTCAGTCTGAGAGTCACCTCTGGAACATTAACATCAGCATGGCATCAACTGGAGAAGGTCACAATCACCGTATGCACCGTGTCAGTGATCTTGTTCATCTTGGCCATGCTAGTATGATGCAGAGAGCCCCTTACCAAGTCAGGTACATGGCAGCCTCCCATAAGAGAATTTATGGATGGTCTGACAGTGACCACAACATCTATACCGGGGTGCAGATGGATCCTCCAAGGCCTTGAGCCACTCAACTGGGCCTGAATGGAGTTCAAGCGAGTTAAGTCTTGGTCCTTGGTTGTGAGAAAGGGAAAAGTTACAGAAAAGGCCCGCTTCTCCCTGGAGGTGTCCAGATTCCATCTATCACAGAGAAGCCAGGCAAGAGCCTTGAGAGACACAGCAGCACTCCAGGTAACCAGCAGCGAGTTGGGTAACAGCACGTCATCAGCACACCATTCACTGTATTTCAGCTGCTGGTTGTTACTGGTCTGTTACTGTGCTGACTCTGCAGGAGACTGGATAATGTCAGGTGTGTTAGCTTACGTGGAAATGTTGCTCCATCACTTGGATCTTGCCTTGTTCCGGACATTTCTTCAAAGAATGCTCTGCAAATTGGCAAAGGATCTCTACCATCTGTACACAGAGAAAGGTACATGTTCAAAGGTGAGCACATTCAGGGCAGAGAGATTTAATATAAGAGACAGTGGCCTCCTGTTCTTACCTTGTCATCTACCACTCCCTTCCTTTTTATGGGATCTCCAAAAAGGCCTGAAACAAACACACATCAACAACAACTGGTTTACATCAATATTTCTCTATACATAATATCTCTGTTTAAGCACATACTGAAGCATGTATTGAAATTTCATGAAAAACAATTCTGTGTTTAATCTGTCAAAGCTACATAAAGACTCCAAAACAAATAAGTAACCAATCAAACTGCAACTGCATAATTATTAAATATTTATCATTCAATATTCAGTCCAACACAGCCATGCCTGTCCAGTGAGCAGCTAAAGAGCCACTAAAATCCAAGTTTTGTTTCACTTTTCTAATTCAAAGTCTCAGAAGATCAGAGGGTTTCATTAATGAAGAGAATAACTTATCTTTAAAATGTGAATATGAAATATGAATGAATTATTGACAACTCTTCTTAGATTTTTCTGACACTTACAACCACATGTTATGGTCTTAATCAGCAGATGAGAGTTACTCCGTTGCCATGGAAATGACCAAAGTATAGATCTTTGGTCCCATAATAACAGGTGGTTGTATTGACCTCATGTGTGACTCAACTGTTTGTCTTAACTTGTTGCTCAGAGCAGGTGGACGACTGCTGCTGGTTATGAGCTTGACTGTGTATTTGACAGAAAAAACACAGGCTGCAGGAGCTGCTCTGGAACATCCAGCACTACACACTACAGGTAATTAGACCCGATCTCAGTTGGTCATGTAACTGAATAGTCATGGTCAGAATGTGTTGGGATTTGTGTTTTCTTATGTTTTTATAACAATACGTCATAACAGAAATTACAACAACAATACTCTTGTTTTCAGTGGACTAACACAGTCAGAAACAGAGCATATTACTACATGTCTTAATGTGAACTGTGTGATGTGCCTTATACCCACCAACCACAGCCTTAGCAGTTCCCTCATGGAAGGACCAGGCCAAAGAGAGTGCCTCAACGAAGTGCTCCTGCTTCAGCAGACAGTCTATACGCTGGACAGAGACAAGGAGGAGGATCTGGATCATACTGAGTTAGCTCAGTTACGGTTAGGGTTAGGAGCTCAGCAAGAAACAGGTCTTCTATTAAAATCCTCATTCATATTCATGGATTTTAACTAATACACATTGTATACCCAGTAGGGATGCCACCCGTCCCGTATAATACGGGACTGTCCTGTATGTGAAAATTAAATGCTGCGTCCTGCATTGAATCTATACATGATGCAATTTATATTTGTACATATCATGTCCTCAAAGTGCTGTGAATAATGTAATGTCATTAGAACCAAGCCAGTTATAGCCTACAAGTGGATTGGAGAAGTTTATCTATGAGGAGTACACTGACGGGTCCCTTATTTCTTCACATAAAAGATATATCATCATTATTGCTTTACTGATATACAAAATGTATTTATTTATCATAAGTATAACTGAAAATGAAAAGGATAGCTTTGAGAGTCCATTGAGGAGGTGGATACTCTGATTTGGGGTTTACGGTCATAGGTGTCTTTCGTGGCAGCAACCTGAGACCCTGTTGGTCGACATCAGTGGTGAGGGAGGCCATCTAGCTAAAGGAGTAAGCCTTTCAGGCTTGGTTGGCTTCACCGCTGTGGTAAAGGGAGAGCTGAGCCTGAAGGCTCTCACTTGATCCAACACTCACCTCAGGTCATGACCAAAAGAATGGGAACATGAAAACAAGTGACTAAAATGAATTTCTTCTGTACGGTGGCTGGACTTAGACTAATAGATTTAAGGGTAAGCAGCCAACACCGACACACAGCTGAATTGGTTTGGACATCAGGAAGTCTCCTGGGCGCCTTCTACTGGAGGTTTTCTGGTGACGTCAAACTGGAAGCAGACGCTGGGGTAGACCCCGACCACACTAGAGGAGCAGCAAAAAATTGATGTATGTATCTCCTTTCTCAACCCCGTACTTTTATTTCACAGTGAAGAGGGAGAGAGTGGTTAAAGTTTGTGCTGGCTCTGTAATAGGGCTGAACGATTAATTGCTTTTGCAATAATATCGCAATATAATATCACAATTTTCTAACCACAAAGGCTGCGATCACACTCTGATTGCTCCCTCTTTTAGCCAACAGTTGGCTAAAAGAGGGAGCAACAACTTGGTATGCTACACCTTGACCTGTTGTATAATGGCCTCAGGCTCGACAGAAACTGGCACTGCAGAAACTTTAGTGTCAAAGTGGAGCAGTATGTTGGTTGTGTGGAACTATTTTGGCTTTAAAAAAGAAGGTATTGTGCAGTACCTGCCTTGCTACTGTTGTGACCTCATGGGGAAACACCACTAAACCTGTATCAGCACAACAAAGCCATGTACGATACTTGCATGGCTAAAATGCCGACCACCAGTGTGTCAAGTAAGCCAAATACCACCTGACAAGAATGACTGACTGAAATGTTATAAAGCATAACTCCAAATGAATGTAATTCACGGGGCATTTACTCAAACAATAACAGAGTTCATAGGGAAAGAAACAATGCCTCTCAGCACAATGACCAAGCCTGGGTTTATGGCTTTGATATATACACTGGATAAGCGGTACAGCATGCTCTCCCACACATATTTTAGCCAGGTTGCCATACCGGAGCTATATAAAAAATGCAAGCTGAGAGTCGCAGCAGAGTAGCTTTTCACTACTACAACTGACCTGTGGTCAAGCCGTACACGGAGCCCTATCAGAGTCTTACGGTTCATGTCATTAATGAATGACTTTGACTAGCTGGGATCTCCATGGACAATTTTACATGCTTACAAGGCTGTAAGTTAAACAAATCAGTCAATAGTTAGTAGTTAAATAAAAATATGTCATTCATATAAATTCATGCATCATCCTATTTCACCATAGCATATAGGCCTGGCCTACAGGAAAGAACGGTTTATGTTTAATCTATCTAATATTGTGTTAGTCATAATATAGAATGATTTATTGCTTGTGTTTGATGAATAATACAGAAGATAAGGAACTTAATCGCATATTAAAACGCAATCGCAATATTGGTAAAATAAATCGCAATTAGATTGTTTTCCCAAATCGTTCAGCCCTAGTCTGTAATTGATTTGTCACTTAACTGTGATCTGACCAAGTTCTTACTGTGTTGTTTGTCAAAACACACACACAGTTCTGAAACTTGTGTGTGCATTGTGGTGCACATAGTCTCTGTAGCACAATCCTTGTTGCTCCATGTAGCCAACTGTGTTTTGTGTTTGAACACAAACATGTAGCTACTGGATAAAAAGTTAATTCTGATCATGTTTCTTACTGACATCAAGCTATTCATCTGCTAATGCTGGTGTGACAGAATACCTCAGATCACCTGTATTATGTATGTACAGTATATGTACCATATAGATAGACTGTATGTTCATATGTGTCCCTTGGTTCTTGTAGTGACAGATTTACTCTGTAAACTGTGTTTTACTTCCTTTGATTTACATTTAGTTTATAGATCCTTCCTTAAACAAAGATGCAGTCATCCTGTGACATCAGTGTTATGTAACCACAATGAGACAGTGAATCATTCATTCATACCTCTCTCCAGTTCCTTAGAGTCATGATGTGAGCCGACTGCAAGACAAGACAATATCACAATGTTAAAGAATAATTTATAGAATAAATATATGTTACAGAATAAAATCCAACAGCAGAGACTTTGTCTTCACACAGTCAGTCACCACCCAGTCATTCAGGCACTGGACTCCAGAGACCAGTGAGTCTCTAAAGGACTGTTTTGAGTGCACTGATTGAAATGTATTGTTGGAGTCACAGGAAAACGTTAACAGCAAGGACCCTGACCTTGACAGAATGGTTGAATGTACCACAGACAACATTAACTTCTGTATGGACACTAATACCAGCAAGGACTGTGCACTGCTTTCCAAACAACAAACCCTTGATCACCAGTAACATCAAGACCCCCCTCATCCAGAAAAAGGAGGCCTTCAGGGATAGAGACAGGGAGAAACTCAGGTGTGTGCAACATGAATTGAAGAGGAGACTGAAGCAGGCGAAGGAGGACTACAAAAAGAAAGTAGAGAGGAAGCTGCAGCACAACAACACCAGAGAGGTGTGGAAGGGGATGAGGAACATCACTGGCTATAAAGAGAAGAACAACCAGGCAACATCAGGTAAAGTGGACAAGGCCAATGAGTTCAAGCTGTTCTACAACAGGTTTGACACAGCCTCACCTGTTCTCTTTCCCACTACTTCAGCTGCAGCTTCTCCTACGGCATCTCCTCCACAACCTGACACTGTAGCTACAACTCCCTCCACACTGGGGTCAAGTTTCCTGTCCTTTACAACGGAGGAGGTGAGGGCGGAGCTCAAGAGACTACGTCCTGGAAAGGCAACAGGCCCGGATGGTGTGTGTCTGAGGCTGTTAAAGGACTGCACAGCCCAGCTGGCTAAGCCTCTCCAGAGGATCTTCAACTTAAGCCTTCAAACAGGGAGAGTCCCGGTCCTGTGAAAAACATCATGTCTTGTTCTGGTACCTAAAGCAGGACGACCGGCTGAGATAAATGACTACAGACCGGTAGCCCCTCACATCACACATCATGAAGACCCTGGAGCGTATGTTTCTGCACCTTCTGAAGCGACAAGTTGAACATGCACTAGACCAAACGAATCCATTGTGAATCCTCTAAAAAATACCCAAACCTATTTCTACTCTGGTCGGACAGCTGCATTATGGACCTGAGATCCCGGAACAAATAACTAAATTTGGCTAAGGAGCAAATATTAACAACTGTACAGAAAACTACTCTCAAGAGCGACGACCAAGAAGTATAATGACACAGGAACACCTGGATGGGAGCGATTCGCTCATTCTTAGAGAAACGGTAACCAAGCCCTCTCCAGCAAACTTGACCGTAAAACTGCAGAAATTAATCAGTCTATCTCTGGACTGAAAACTATGCTAGACAAGCTGAGCTCCCACATGGTGTCTAAACCCTACCCTTCCTCAAAAAACAGATTTTTGTCAGGGACCAGATTAAGCTATTCTGCAAGATAAATTGTCCCTCCTCTCCCAATAGTTTTATATTATGGGACACGCTAAAGGTTTTCTTACAGATTTATATACATCACAATTGCCAGAAGATGTGACTAAAATTGACAAGTTTCTGTCCATTATTGAACTTCCCAAACTTGACCAAGATGACAAAAAGAATCTTGACCTTCCCCTAACTCAAAAAGAAATTGAAAAGGCCTTAGGCTCATTAAAATCTAATATGTCAGCGGGGGAAGATGGCTTCTCCCCTGAATCCCGTAAAGTACTTAATCTTGGCCAGGTTTGGGTTTGGCCAGTCGTTCATTAACTGGGTAAAAACTCTTTATCAAGAGCCACAGGCCAAATTACCACTGCTGGACAGACCAAAGAGCATTTCCCCTTGAATAGATCGAGTCGACAGGGCTGTCAATTGTCTCCAGGACTTTTTGTCTTAGCTACTGAGCCCTTAGCTGAAGCAATTAGACAGGATCCTGATATAAAGAGCTTCAAAATGGGTCAGACAAATCATAAAATAAATCCCCTGGCAGATAATGTAATTTTGTACTTAATAGATCCAAGTAACTCCCTCTCCCAATTACAGACTCTATAAATGCTTATGGTATTATTTCAGGATACAAGGTGAACTGGGAAAAAAGTTAAATTATTCCACAGTTTTGATTATAATGAATATCTACAAACTAAGTGGGTTCCAAATAGGATAAAATACCCGGGAATAATTGTACATAATGACCTTAAAAATCTTTACAAATTTAATCACCTCCCGTTGCTTAGTAGAACTGAAGATGACCTTCCTCAGTGAATCGGATTTGAACATAATGATTGATGAAGAGCTCTGGTCAGATTTATGCCAAGATAGTCTGTCAGCTCATATTAATGCCAGGTATAGACTAGTTCATTATAACTTTTTTCATCAGCTATACCTCACCCTACAGAAATGACATAAATCCAAACCGGAATTATCAGAAATATGCTTCAGATGTGGTATAGAGGTTGGCTCTTTCCTACACTGTACCTGGCTCTGTACTAAGGTGAGACCCTTCTGGCATGACTTCTGTGAAACCTTGACCAAGATCACTGGAGTTACCGTCTCATTAGATCCTGAACTTTGCTTACTGGAGAATTTTACAGAAATCAACAAATCCTTAATTGGTCCCCAAATTAAATTTATGAAGACTGCTCTGTGTGTGGCCAGGAAATGCATAGCAGTGACATGGAATTCTGATTCCCCTCTTCTCATTGATAGATGGATGTAAGACATGAATAGTTGTATTCCTCTTGAGATCACATATAGCCTAAGAAAAGGATACAACAACCTTATGAAAATCTGACAGCCTTATCTAGAGTACAAAGGAACATCACTGACACCACCATAACAAACCATCTGTGAATAACTAAAGACCTCTCTTGAGGAGATGCCATTGCTGCCTTATTGTCTCTTATGTTTTACTATCTGCACTGTAGAATTTTTTTTCCCTCTTTTCTGGGTGGGTGGGAAAGCAACCGTTTTTTTCTGTCTATGTGTCTGTGTGATTGATGATTGGTCAATGAGGAGACGCACACAGTACCTTGGTGCCCAGATAGACGATCTGTCCTGCGTAGCTGGAGACAGACTGGTAACAGGCCTTTTCTCCAACTAAAGCCTGAAATACAGACACACTGTTAACAAGACAAGTGGAACAAGTTCATACGTGAAAGTATCAGTATCAGATAGACTGACAGAGCCTGGTGCTCAAGCCAGGTAGTGAGTGAATGGGAGAGACAGCATGGTGAAGAAAGAAAGTGTGAAGAGGGAATAAGTGAGTGCAGGAGAGAAATCTACCTCAGCAAAGTGTCACACTGGAGTTTTCAGTCTCATTAATGATGCCCAAGATCGTAGTTTAGATCCTCTGGTCTCATAGCTATTGGAACTTTTTGGACTTTTTTTGGAAAGTATATGTTGTAATGGGACAGCATTAAAATGTGTTGAGCATATGGGTAAAGTAGCCATGGAACCGCTAGGGGACACTGTTGATACAGAGTTGACGTGTTCATGAGCTTTCAAGGAGCGAGGAAGAGTACCTCCAGTGCCTTGGGCTCAGGTGTGTATGTGTGAGCCAATTTAGCCATCTGCCCTGCAGCATGTTGGATGCTCAAGTCTGTATGTGAATGTATTAATCGTGCAGATTGAATATATACAGTACGTGTCGCGTGCTTCTTTTTCAAGGGACAATTTACCACAGTATAGGACCTGGACTGGACTGTCTAAAAGGCTAAACTCAAGCTTCAACTCTGTCATCTCAGCCCAACACTGCTGCTAAACTCTCAAGTCATTTATCTTCATATATAAGTGAATACTGTTACACAACCTCTGATCCTGTCCCCCATCAGCTAATCCCTCACCAGAGCCTGGGAGACATTCCCTCCAGTGGCCAGCGATTTGAAATGTCGGCTGTTATAGACCAGTTGCACCTGCTCCAAGTCCAGAGTCTCCAAAACCTCCTGACTGGGACGGTCCACAATGTGCAGTTTTTCATGGCTATCCACCAGGACCAGCGTGCGACTGTTAATCCACTGCAGAGACACAGAGACATGAAAGAGCAAGTCACCGACTGTGCACTACAGCAAATATTTGCATTTTTTCACACCTCTGCCAGGTAGGACTGAGAAAAGCCTGCATGGCAGACATCAAAGAAAACACAAGACGCTGAAAGGGTTAGGGTTAGGGTTAAAGAACCTGCCTCATTATCCAACCAGCTCAGGTTGAAAGGTGCTAAATACTAGGAATCTTCAGGGCCTGCTGTTGACCTGTCCAAATCCCAGTTCCAGATCAACTTTAAAGTCTCAGAGAAGAATATCCACAGTCTGGTTGGTGGACCATGGGAGATAGTGAGCCCTCAAACGCTGAGTATACAGTGGGACAGTCCTGAGCCCTAATGGACAGAGTTAGTGTGTAAGGGGGGTTGCTAGAGTCAGGTACTTACACTCAGGCTGATGATGTCACAGCTGAGGTGGAGCTGTCTTTGCTTGATGACATGAATGGTCCCCGACTCCTCCTTCTTCACCTGAATAACCAGCAGAACAGAGGAGAACATTCAAACACTGCAGACCACTGACATCATTTCTCCCAAAATGCACTGTGAAGCACCTGGGAAATATTAATTAAAAACTAGAAAATACCTGAAGAAATTTTAAATGTGCCTGCTGCTTTGTGCGTATCCATCACACATATTTCAATCTCTACAGAGGAAGTTACTTTGAATTTCATTCATGTTATAGAGAATTATCCTAACTCTGACCTCAGTCTCTGCAGGTATCCCTCAAAAAGCTCCTTGAAACTACAAGGACTGACCAAAGTGACCTCACAATGATGGTTTGAACCTAAATTTGTCCCCACAACCATAGCAAGACATGTATACACACATGTACATGCCCTAACAAAAGTTGATCTGCAATAAAGCTACTGTGATTTCTCCTGCTAGAACAGACCAACATGGACAACAGTAAAAAAGGCCTTGAGTTAATCAGTCTAACTAGCCAGTTGTGTGAAAGTTTGGGCAGGAACTGCACTTGTGCACTTGTGTGTGTCTGTCAATGTGCGTATATTGCAATGTGTGTATTGTTGTGTGTGGAAGTAGAGCTGTCTACCATAGAGCCTCCAAAAAGCTTGTGTTACCACATTGAGACACATATACAGTTAATATCCAAAGGTGGAGATGGTTTGTGTGTCTGTCAATGTGTGTGTGTGCATGGTGTTAGAAACTACATAAGCTTAACCTTCAAAAAGCCTTTTGAAGTTGTCAGGACTGGCCAAAATGACCTCACAATAATGTTTGTTAACTAAATCTGTCCCCACAATTATAGAAAGACATGTACACACATGCAAAGAACTAGGGCTGTCACTAACGACTATCTTTACATCAATCTATCAACTATTTGATAGTCGATAGATTAATGTAAAGATAGTCGTTCATCTAAACAATTAATTTTCCTCCAGAAAATCTAAATGACATGCTGGCATGATCAATAATCCCAGATTCAGGCCTAAACATTTTCTCAAACACTTATTCAGTGTAAATTCTCAGGCGGCAGCAGACAACTTTACGACTTTAAGAGTATTTATCAGCTACAAGGACAAAAGATATTAAAAAAAAGCTCTGTTGACTAATGAATAGACAACAATTACATGAAGTAATCCTTCACATGCTTGTGACTGATCTCACTGTGCGCTATAAAAAATAATAATCACAAAATAACACTGGTTAAACACTTAGACTTAGAGTGAAGGGATTTGAACTGTGATGTGCTCATCCTTCCAAAGTCAGACATTAACCAGCTGTAGGGATGGGTGGGTATCGTTAGGATTTTATCTTTATTTTATGTAGACTTATCCAACATCTCCATGAACCTCAAATCCCCCCTTGTCATGTACTGCTTCTCCTCCAATAACTTCTCATTGAAATCTTGATTATACTGAGAGACCAACAGCTCCTCTAGTTTAACGCTGGATATCCTATTGGCATAGACGGTTGAGCAGCTTCTCTGACAACAACCACTACTGCCCCTCAAAGGACCATTGATGACCCACCCCAATAAAGTCCTCATGGTGCAAGGTCCATCACCTTGGCTGTTGATTATTTCCCAGGGTTCCATGAATTTTGGTGCATCAGTCCCATCTGATATATCACCAAAAAGTGGATGAGACAGGATCTTGACTTGATTCTCCAGAAAGTTTACCATATCTGGAAATGTATCCCTGTAGCCTCGTCGTTCTTGTATCTCACAGGCTTTAGACCACCATCTTCCCCGCAACTTGTATGGCCACTTCATTACAACATGCCTCATATTTGATGGAACATTCATCTCCTCCTGTATTGTATTTCTGTCATAGCGTTGCAGCAACCTCTTAGAAATAATGCAAATTCCTGCAGTGCCTGAACATCCTCTGCTTTAATAACAGGCCATCCAAATGCTTTATCTACATATGCTGTTGCAATTCTGTGTTCATTGCCAAAGTGTTCTTTCTAAAGACATTTTGCCCTTTGATATCCTTGCTGTGGTGTCATATGTAAGCTTCGCACCAGCTCTCTGGGCTGCCCCCTGGTGTATTGTTCCAAGAAATACAAACACTCTTGATAATTGCTGGTTCTCTCCTCAATACAATGCTCAACAGTCCTAATAAAGGAAATGCACTGCAATGGATCACCATCAAATACAGTTATGTTGCGGTAAAATAGATGACCTTTGCGGTTGCAGAAGCATTGAGGTGATTTCATTTTGCTTTGTATGATTCCACAAATTGCATCCTGGTCAACTGTACTTTGCATTGGTGAAATGTCCTGTGCATATTGAAACTGATATGTATGCATATATATGCTGTCCCTGTGTAGCTACAGACCTAAGAGGTGCAACTGTAGAAGCTGTGAAAACATTCTGAGACTCAGGCTTCAGAGTAGTTGAGTGAGATGGTCCAGTACGTGGTTGCAACAGTAGTCTGACATCCTTTGCTTGTGAGGTTACATGATGTTGTACTTGTGTATTCACTTTTGGATTCCCATTGTGTGTAGATAAAACCTGTGACACCTTTGAGCCTTGATCTGAAGTTGGGTTGCTCCCTTTGGGCACAAACTCATTTGCATTTGGATTGAATTCAAGTCTTTGCCCCTTAGGTCCTTTGCTGACATAGGAATTCATCCCATTAGAATTGGCTTTTCCTCCAACATCACTGCCTTCGAGGACTGACAGTCTTGCAGAAGCAGCAGCTATTTGTGTATCAAGCTCCAGTTGCTCCTTTATTTTCCTCAGCTTGTTTCTTTCTTGTCTGAGTTTCTCCTCTTGTGTCTGTAGTTCACATCTGCAGATGAAGCAGATGATATATGAGAATGACTTCTTCTGCTTGACCTTTGACTAGACACATTAGATGCACCGTCTTCAGGATTAATATCCTCTTGATTTGATTTTGCATTTTTGTCTTCATCATCATCCATATTTTTATCACCATCATTTACATTTTCACCATCATCATTTAAAATTCCATTTTTCTTCAACCGTGTTGATGTTTCTTCAATAAATACATAATTGCCAGCCTTTTTTGAATGAAACCATGCTTCCTGCTTTCTCTGCTCCTCCTCAGGTAGAGGAAACTCAGTAAGCAATGTGATATGAAGTTCGGAGGGACTCTGGCATAGGCCTTTCAACTTTTTTTATATTTTGTTGCACAACAGATACATTTTCCTTAAAAGACAAGAGTGGTGATTTTTATTTTCAATTTGCTTGCCTGTTGGAAATTCTCCTTTCCTTTTGAAGCCTTTCAATTATCATTGAGATTCCTTTCAGAGTAGGTTTTATTGTTTTTTATTGAGTGTCATGACATTGCATTTCTTTGGACTGAGTTTCAACAGTAACATGGTGCATATCATTCATTTTCCTTTTTTTTTCCATTTTTCTGTGTTGTTATTTTAAGAGAAGCCGTAAGTAAGACAAGTGCTGCGCCATGTCGAGGGCTTGCGCACAACCTGTGCACTTGCAACTTCTCCAAACAATACATTCGTAGACACATCAAGGGTTGAGCGATAATCTCTTACTTTCGGTTTTCATGAGTCCATTGAAAGTCGGTACAGCCGATAAGGACTTTAATGCAACACACCACAATCCTGAAAGCGGCCCACTGCCGCATACACAAGGCATCGCTGCTTCCAACAAGCGATCACACATCAACACAGGTGTATGCACTCACCAGGGACGTCCTTTGATTTATGTTAATCGGTGTCAGCGATCGTAACTTTTCTTTCCTGTTGGGATGCTTCCGCATTAATTGAGAAGACAACAAACGGCCTTTGCAGTCCTGCAGCCTTAAGTGTGTGTGCTCCAAGTGATGTCGCCTGTCCAGGTGAGATCAGGATTTTTACCTTATGTGGTGACTATCCCGACCTGATTTAAGCGACCCGGCTCGGTGCGGGAGAACACCTTGGTCTAACGCGCTTCAAAGAATGGAGGTCCAGGCAATGTTTACTGTTAGATTAAGTTCTCATTTATTAAAGAGTTCGAGTAACAGTACTTTCTATTGCAAAGGTGAAATTTGATGTGATGGCTGGCCTTTCCTGTGTCTGGCGTGTAAGCGGTAAAAACCGTGCAATCTCCCCGTCATCCATGCCGGATTACCTGGTCTGTTGCACCCATGTCACATATAGACTCCACCTGCCATTACCACCTACCACTGACACTACCACCCGTGATATGGCCTGACGTAACCTATACAACAATAAACAAATAAATGGCTCCTACAGCAACAATAATTGTGTTCAGACAGAGCAGCAATAAACTGACTGGTGATGGGACACCACACTGACGTCAGCATTTCAACAAGTGAATGGCATCACTACTATTGGTGAAAAGACATCAGTAGAAGTAAATCACTGTAACAATGTTCTCAGATAAAAGAACAAAGTAAGTCAGTTAAAATGTTTCTGAGTAAACGTGTTACTACATTAAATTTGAAAATGGGGATGGAGGAGTAAAACATGTTATAGGGTGATAAATATATATAATATATGATGAAACTATAAAATGAAAGAACATCTTTAGGTTACCAGATATATCAGTTCCCAGGTGAGAACAGCAACGAAATCAACCAATTGACAGGACGGAGTTACAAAAAAAGGTCACTTCTGCTTTTCTCTGGAAATCGGCTCCTGAATTTGTATTGCAGTCAGTCGGAGAGGTGGAGGGAGGGTACTCCAATCACTTTGAGGCTCACTATTCAAATTCTGTAAATCTCTGTGCTTAGGTAGACACTTTCTACAAAACAGCACAAATTTGTCTACTACCGAGGAGGCCATGATATGTGAAGACTGAAATATGTGGCCAGAAGGACGAGTTACACAGAATTTTTTCAGAGGAGTTCTAGAGCTTCTCCCACTCTAGCGATGATGTCATCCATTCTAGCTCTGAACATTCCGTCCAATATACACCCATTATAAAATCTGAAATGGTCTAAAAATTACACAAAACGTAAACTGATTTTGTGTAAACCGTAATAGTTACCAAAAACCGATTTAACCCAAAACAGTCTCAAGTCTTGTGACCCGTTTAACATTTCAAAAAAATTTCTGCGTTGAAATATGACGCAGCATAGCTCAAAAGTTGGTAATTTTGAAGATGTTTCCCCTTTCATTCTCTATGGAAATTTTTTCGCCTTTTATCGGCATTTACGTTGCCATGATTACTCGACTCGATAAGAACAATTATAGCACACGTTTCCCGATCGAGCCGCACGCACAGATATACTCTATATACTGTATATTGTCTGGGTTTTCTCAAAGCTGCGGGACTAGTTACACCACGAAATTTCATTACGGAAGATGAATAACACAAATAAGTATGCAGGATAATAATATAGGCATTCAATGCTATTGCATTGCAGGCACATAATAAAAATATTAAAACCTCTGTCATCATGTATGTATTAGTGATCCGTGCAGCTGGATGTGTCAGTACAGTGACTAAAGACCAGGCAGAGCTTCAGTCATGTTGGACATCAGTACTGTATCAGTTTCTGTTAAACTGGTCGATTTCAGCTCAGTGACATAAACAAACACAGTTTGTGTATTAAACTGTGATACAACAAATGAAAAAATATTCCATGTAGAGAAGTGCCATGTGGAGAGGCTGGGATGTAGACCTGAACTGGACCAAGAATCAGACTACATAATGATGACCACCTGTCACCTCATTCTGGCAGTCATTAAATCTGTGTTTACACGTGAGGCTGCAGACACACATTTCAGATCTTAAAGCTAGAGACTGTGAGTGAGAGCACACTGATACTGAAACTGATTTAACTGCAGAAATGATTTTATATTACTTATATTCACCCACACATGAATGAGGTTCTCGGTGGTAAAGACAGAAGACAGCTCATAAATACAACTGGTTTTATATCAACTGAAAACAATGTCCAAGTTCAGACAGCAGCATTATAACAAACTGAAAGATACCAGGAGGAAGTGGACTGTGTCTCCTTTACAGAATGCCAGGACTGGGTTGACTGTCTTCTGGACAGGAACAAACTGCCAGGCCAGCTGAGGAACACTGGACGGGTCAGACTAGAGAGAGAGAACACAGCACATCAAATCACATCATATTACATCACATTACGTCAGGTGAATAATTAACCTCTTAATTAACCTCAATGTCCCAAATGCTCACTGTTATTAAGGCTGAACACTCTGCTTCTGTGTGGTACTACATTGTTGGACAGCTGACATGAACATAAACTAAGGTAACTGCTAAGGTAGCTTCACCTGACACCACCTTCACCTGAGTCTAATGAATGAAAATATTCACTGTGCCTGGCACATGTTAAACCTCAGTATCAGACATTTTCAGTCATCATAGAGAAGTTCAGCTGTTAGTGAGGAAGAAGTCACTAGATGTAAGGACAGAGTGGTGAGAGGGTAGAAACTGGTCCAGTTTATTTACTGATTCATAACAAAAGGGTTTTGTTGTTTTTGACCTGATATTCTCCTGCTTCCGTGTTGTGAATGACAGTGTCACAACAGGACCTCCACCATCCTCCATAACCTCAGCTGAAGAAGAATTAAAACTATTGACCTGACCACACACACTGACATGTTTCTGTCTGATATTTTAAATACTAATCATTATGAATCAATGTTTTACTCTCTAGCCACAGCTTTGATAAGAGGGTTTTATATTACACTAACTGATACAGTAACAAACACAACCTGAACCTTGTCATTGTTTAACAAGTCAAACAGTACAGACCTTACTGTGGGGAAAGGTCATCCAGACTTTCAGGGAGGGCTTTAGTCCAATGACCAGAATCTGGAAAAACAAACCAAAAGAAAAAATGTTACAAACTTTACACAGAGTTTGGTGGAGGCTGCACTGTGAGCTGTCTGTGTTTGTGTACTTTAGTGAGAGAGGCCATAGCCAGCAATGAGTAGTGTGTGATGGGATGGTCTCTGATGTCTGGAGGAGCACGCAGTGGTTCAATACAGCAGACCTCCCCTTTAGAGCCACTGAAGAGACACCGAGAGTCACAGGATCGCATCCCCATCACCCTCCTGGAAACAAAGACGAAAACATTAACACAATCACAGAGGAAGGAACAACTCAACTTCACATATGAAGGCCATAGCAGAGACAGTAGACAAACTGAAATGCTTCATTTCTGATTATTTCCTGTATCTGTGTGAAGTGGGTTTCTCTACCTCCCCGCCCCTTTAGGAGACCAGAAGCAGGTCTGGGTCTATTCATTCCAAAAGGCGAAGTGAATGAGATCACAGATTATGACAGATTCTTTCGCTCCATAGTCACTAAAGAAAAATATTGGACCCATTTTTCACAAGCCATATGTCTTCAGAACATTCTGACATCAAAATGACATTTTTCAGATGAACAGATCAGGAGAAAATTAACTTTATCCAAGACCTGCCTCTGTCTCAGTGCCATACTCCCGTGAGATCTGTCAACTGCTGACATCCTTTACCAACCGATAACTAGATATTTAAATGGACCAGAGTTATTTTTGGATTGACGTACTTATACATGAAACTTGTTTCATTGCTTATCAATTGCTAAAACAGATTATTAGCCTATTAAACTGACATGACTTTGTACTGGGCTGATCAGATGCCATTAGTAGATAAAAGCAGCGGCAAAAAAGGCGCAAATTTGTACTGTATCCGTGTTGTATCGTCTATTGTTGTATTCTTTTGGCAGGGACAAGTAATCCATAAATAAGTGTTAAAAATGCCCGAGCTTTGTGGAACAATAGGCTGTAATAACATGAAAAAAATATCTGTCTTTTCTTTCCCAAAGGATGCAGAGAGGTAAGTCTAGACAGGATAGATTTTAATATTAGCTACTGTCACATTTCATGCCAGTTGCCTTGGCGCGAGGGAGGGGTTGGGGGACAACGCCCACTTGGGAGAACGGAACTGTGTCCCATTTCATACCATTGGCGCTGCCTATAAGCAGTATCTTCTGTATAAAGGCTCTTTGGCCATAGTAAAACATAAACAGTATCTAAACAGTAATCATAAAGGTCTGAAGTTAAATGGAAGTATAATGTGAAGTTGCTGCACTGTGCTGTAAGTTAAAAACTGTCCCTAACAAACAACTTTAATGATGCTACATCATCACAGCAGCCATGTTACAGCAATCATAACACTAATCAAGTACAAGACATACAAGCTTTACTTTCAGGTGCCCTGATGTTTCTTTTGTATCCAAACAAGTCCAGTTTCTTACAGAGGTTTCCTAAATTAATGTTAGGGTGAGTTCACGAGGAAGAGAAAAAGGATGACAGGTGAAACTGTGAAAATGTCACCTGATTATTACAGACAGTTAAAAACTAATGATTCATGTTACTGACGTGATGCTGTAAATCTGTCAGGTCTGAAAGTAGAGCACAGAGGATCAGAGAGTGAGACAAGATGACGAGTCAAGGGGAGAGTGTTCAGGTGACAAGTCATAAACAGCGTTTAAAACAAAGCTGAAGACAAGAACCACAGGAAAACATGTCAAACCTTTTCAAACACACAGTCCTCTGTTGTGGACATTGTCCTTTGTAGTGGACACTAGACCCATTCATCCAGGCAAATATAACTGGAACAGATTTAGAAAATGATATACTTCACTGTGAACTGTCTCAGTGTGGACTATATCACTGTCTCACTGTGGACTGTGAACTGGACTGTCTCACTGTGAACTGTCTCCCTGTCTCACTCACTGTGAACTGGCTCACTGTGGACTGTCTCACTGTGTGTCTCATGTTAGTTACTGCTCTGGATAAATACACTTTATCTGTCAGGTTTCAGGTATTTAGTCACAGATCGATCAGACATGGTCACTATTAAACAGGAAGTAAACCACAGTTAAGAGGAGAACTCATCCGTCAATACTCACTGTAAATGTCATGTATCACACAGTTGCTCTCATCAAACTTGTCTCTAAATTGACTTTGGTATATTTCTATGTATCTTTTATCTATTAGGTTAATTATTGTTGATGTAAAGTGAGTCATTTACCTGAAGGCCAACTCGAACACTGATCCTCCACTGTCATTACACACGGCAAGAGTTGGGTCATCTGTGAACTACACAACAACAACAGAGGCACAGAACCCAGGTGAATATGATCGGTGATGTAACAAAGAGTGAATCAGGTCTGTTATGGTCATGTATGAGCACACCATACACCTGTGTGTGTGTGTGTGTGTGTGTGTGTGTGTGTGTGTGTGTGTGTGTGTGTGTACCTTCACATGCAATATGGCTGTCCCTGGAGGGTGAGCATCACTGATAGTCCTCAGAAGTTTCCCATTGGCTAGATCCCACATGGTAATCTATAGAGAGAGAGAAAGAGAGAGACAGACAGACAGAGATAGACAGAGAGAGAGACAGTCAGACAGAGAAAGAGAGACAGACAGACAGCTGATAGGTTTGTTCATTATATTTGTCTCAAGTTACATAAACAATCATATCACAGTTTAAATACAGTGAGGAGAGGATGAGTCTGTTGAATCCAGCTCAGTTAACTTGACCTGAGCTCAACTACAAGCTCCTCCCATATTCATGAATTTTAACTGCAAACCCCTGATACAGATGTGGGTAGTTACATTAGCTACAGTCATCACAACATAATGATACTTTCTGGTGTTTGTTGTTTGTTTTGCTTCTTTTCACCTTTGTTAGATTAATCAGGGTCCTGTATCCACCCTGCTGGATAAATGAGCTTGTGTTTGTGTTTGTCTCAGTAGACTGTACCTGTCCTTTGGCAAACCCGCAGAGAAGTCGTGAGCAGTCGTGGTTGATGCTGAGAGCGGACACAGCTCCAAACTCAGCCCCCGTCATCTTGGTACCCAAACAGAGCCGCAGGGCCTGGTTGGTATCTTAAGAGGAGGAGGAGGAGGATGAAAAGGACAGTTAACTATGCAGGGGTACAGACTTAGAAAAAGTATGGAGGGTAAAATTAGTTTAAAAGAGATCAAGGTTTTCCCAGTCCTCAAGTTTAAGAGTGGAAAAACAGAATCAAACAACATCAATACAAAAACACCACACACTGGCAACAACGCAAACACAATAAATATTTGACCTGCAAGCAGGTATGAACAGGGTCCAAATGGCCCCTTGCCACCCGTCGAGGCCAGGCAAGTCAGACCACTGCAGGTCCACTGGTGCAAAGCAAGTCTGAGGAAAACTCTTGCCATACTCAGCTGCATATTGGTAAGAGTTTAGGTCTATAGGATATACAAGTGATTTATGTTGAATTTTAGGAGTTTGGAAGGTGAAATGTGAAGGAATTATGATTTTCCATGATAGGCCATGACCACTTTAATGAATCATTACCAAATTTTAACCATGGACTGAGTAATGAATAGATAGATATAGATATAGACATAGATCATGTCCACCAAATTAAACAAGAATCCATGCACTTATCAGGTATGTGGCGCCCCCTTGTGCATATTTGATGATTTTGTGAAAAAATTTTATTGGCATAAATGGGTGTGGCTTAAATCAAGAGATTCGGCTCCTTTTGTTGAACATGTCCATATAAGCTTTTTGTATGTGTAATGTACTATGTGGGAGTTATAGGCCAAAAATAGCAGCATTTAAAACAAAGCATATAGGTATATTGATGTGAATAGATCGGCGTATTTTGATTATTGTTGAGTGACAGACTTAATATTGGCCATAGGTTGCAATTAGGCAAACATTTGTCACATTTGTGAATAAGCAGAACAAAACTCTGAAGTACCTAAGGGTGTTTTATTATGAATTTTTGAAGTTTGGAGGGTGAACATGGACAAATTTTGATTTTCCATAATAGGCCACGCAACTTTATTCAATCATTACCGAAATTCATGCATGGACTAAGGAATGAATATTAATGAAGCACACCAAATTTCGTACAAATCCATGCAGCTTATTACGAGATATAAACCTTTCTTATTGTGGCACCTCCTAGTGGCTGATTAGCACCAAATTTTGTAGCTATCCTCGGCGTCAGTAGAAAGTATTTTCCCAAAGATATGCATCCCATTTTGACTGCTAGCTACACAAAGTTGTTCCAATGTAACTTTCGCATTTTTTGGAGAAATAAAAATCCTTTCATAACTTTTTGTCATCATTGTCTATAGATTCTAACTGCAAAGTTTCGTGTCGATTAAGCTGGAGGCCTAGGAGGAGTTCATAAAAGTAGGTTTTGCATATTTTATGATTTTGTGAAAACATTTTAAAACACAAATGGGTGTGGCCTATACCACAAGATTCAGCTACTTTCACTGAACACACCCATATAAATATTTAAATATTTTTGAATGTGTGATGTACTATGTGGGAGTTAGAAGCCAAAACTTTTTTCAACAGAAAAACAAATAAATAAATAAATAAAAATCTTTATAAATATAATAGGGTTCACTGGGAACCACGCTACCTTGCGTGCATGGTCCGCAGCCCCCTTGGGCTTGGACCCTTTATTAACAACTGCAGAAATCAAAGAACAAAGCATGCACCAGAGCAGCTCAGCCAAAACAAAATGGACATTGGCGATGGCGTCTCAGAGTCAGGCTGAACACAACATGAACAACATTAGCGGGGATGGTCATACCTTTTCCTGCCCGGGCATCATTGTCAGCAGTACAGTATAAAGAGACATGGGTCAGCCCCAGTTAAACCACAGTCAAACCCCAAACACATCACAGTAAAAACTTCAGAATCATTTCATATCTGTGGAAATGAGCAGTTCTTTGCATGTTTTCACATTTACCCCTGGAAATTACAGTAATACTATAAAACAAGCTATAAACACTTTTTGTCTACATTTCTCTGTTGAAATGACTTTCAGCTGCTGGCCTGATGAAAACTCTTACCTAACATATGTTGTTAGCCGTTTAATTATTCTGACTATCACAGATTTTACGGTTGTTCACCGAGTCTTGATCCAGGATCAGTACAGGGACCCGTTGAATAACAGCAGAATCATGCATGTCTAGACTGACTGGTACACGCTGTATGTAGTATGTGTCTCTGTTGATCACTCACAAAGCGGCAGTGTGGTTCTCTGATTACAGATCCTGGCCCTCAGGACCTGGTTCACCCCCCTTCTACACCTCCACTGTATTCATGCTGCTGGTTCACAGCTCTGACAACTTCTCTGTTCCAGTTCAAACAATCAGTGAAACTATTACTGCAGAGACTCCTCACATGACTGTTATGACTGCTGATACACACTCTGTTACACAGACTAATGCTGTTATTGTTAGTACTGCTGCTTACAGCTAATAACATTAACACAAGTAATAAAACTACTGTTGGCACGGCAGTTGCTGCCATTGTTACTGTAACTGTTACTGACACTGGTACTGTCACTGTTACTGGAATTGGTACTGTTACTGTCATTGTTACTGTCACTGGTACTGCTCCTTTTGCCTCTTAAAGTGTTTCTACATTAACTGTTATTTTATCATATTACCACTGTGACTGCTGCAATCAACTGCTAAATACAGTTCATCTGTCTGTTATGCAGTGATTAAAACTTAAAATAATTCCTCTTTTAAGAGGTTTGAACTCTTTAGAGGCTCATTTAACACTTTTCTTCCTGTTAAACTAAAACCAGCACACTAACTGAATTCAGTCCACTGGCATATGGCCAGAGTTCGAAGGGATCAAATCAACCTTATTATCTGACATACACTAATGTCTGTGCTTGTGCACACAGTAGGTAATGTATTTCTGAACTGTGCTTGTGTAAACACTCATTCACTGTTTGCACGTCTCTGAACTGAGGAACTGTTGAGATTCCTGCTGTTGGTTTGATTGTTAATTTCTAAAAAGGAGCCATCTTACTAAAGCCACTGTTCACCAGTCTCATTCATGGTCAGTGTTGATCCTCCTTATCCCCTCTGCTTTGGTGTTACCCTGTGAACGTGACACACCAGTGAGTACTTACCCTCCTCATGTCCTGCCCTGTTCAAAGAATGGATGCCCATTTTAAAAAGTCCAAACAAAAGCATAGGCTGATGTAATCAGTCTAATCCACTCCTGTCATGGTGATAAGGCAGTGGCCAGGTCCGGTAAGGTGAGTGAGCAACTGATACAGGACAGATAAGGAGGGAGTGAACTGGTGCCTAAAGGTCTTGATTACCTGAGTCAATAAAAACCCACTGTTTCATATGCAGTGTGACTCAGAACCACATCTGAAACCTGGACCAGCAGTCTCAGCTTAAACAGCTTCAGGCTTTTTACCTTTGCTGAGCAGAAGAAGGTGAGTTCTCCTACATTCACATGCTTACTGACTGTTCACAGCTTGTCTTTACTAGTGCAAGCTGATGTTGCTGATACTGTTTAAACTGTTTTACATATTTTCTTTCTTTACTCGTCTGCAGATTTTCTACACCACTTCTCATCAGTCAATCTATTGTAATTGTGTTGGCTAATTTCAGATTTATTTGTAGTAAAATAAATATAAAAATGAAACAAAAATGACAAAATTGACTAAATGTGATTAAAACTCACACTTAGTCATCTTCAGCATTTTTATTTCAGTCACAGAAAACCATCAAACTTTATTTTGTGTCTCCAGTGTCTCTGTGACTGACAGCTGCACAGTTGTGTTCACTGCAGCGATTTTACACAGAAACACTGTATGAAAACTAAAATCATACTCTGGTGAATGCACTGTATTAGAAAATATAATTAAAAACTACTGACACCCTGTTCTGCAGTTCTTTAATGATGTTTGATGTGATCTTGGGTGATGACTTTTGTGTGGGAGGTGATACACGTCTGTCAGGTTCTGTTTCGTGTGTAATCAAAGGTTATAAATGAGGCCCCTAGTTTCTGAAGTGTCTGTAGATGATGCACTGTATGACACCAGAGGCCACATAAGAATATTTCAAAGTCATTTTCCACGCTTTGCACTGTTGGAAATGAGGAGTAGATGTACACTAGTCTCAATAATAACATTGAGCTACAGAGGCAAGTTAGTTCTTATCAGTGGTTACATGGGTTAGTAACAGAGTCACCTTCTACCTAATGAGAATAGTATTTGTGTTAAAGAGTCACAGGGTAGTGCCACAACTCTGTTGGTGTACTCATGAATTAGTTTAGTGTGAACATACATTTACCACGTGACCTATGACAGTACAGGTAATTCCAACCACCTCTACTGTTTGTCCAAGGTTTTTATTAGAGACTGGTGGTTTAGTACTCAGCCTGATGATCAACACAAACTCACTGTGATTTACACCTATGTTTTTTTTCTCTACATCCTGAAGTGATGTAGAAAAGCTCAGACTTTAGTCAGATGATCTCACAGTGAGGCCTGGTCTGACACATCAGTAACTGATGCTGAACTAACTGAACTGATTCTGTCTTGTCTCCAGTTCACAGCTGCCCCCCCTCCCCCACAGCGCTCCACAATGCCTCATCGTAACTGCTCTGTTGAGATTAACAACAGCTCTGGCTGCTACACTCTCGCCAACCCAAGGTTACCTGTTGCTTTTCTACTCATCTTCTTCTGCAGCTTTAAACCCAATATAAGCAGGTGTCTGAGCTGCAATGGTAACATTAAAAAGATCACACTCACTGTATACGACACACTACTGCATACTGAAACAATAATAATATGTGTACACCTACCTCTACTGTGAATATTCACATCTTACCAAATATGTAGAGGCACTATATTTATCTATGTACTGGAAAAAAATGGCATAAAAACAAACATATCAGCTTAGTTATGGTTTAGAAATTTGAATACTCATGTCCAACATGCCCAGTACAACAACAACAAAAGACATGAGAGAGGAAGTCCATTAAGATCAAAGCATCACCACCATAAAAAAAAAAAAAAAAAAATCAAACAGCACATTTTGACGAACTTGTACTGTATTTGCATTTTTCCTAAAACCACAACAGTCAGATATTAAAGAGAAGGAGAACTGTCAGGAACATGTGTCTGCTCATTGTCTGCTCATTTGCTCACCGTTTCTTCCAGTACATAGATAAATATAAAGCCAACAACCCACAAACTGTAGTATCCAGCTGTGTAGGCAGGAATCTACAGTCTGGACAGACCGGGTTAACATTAAAGAAGAATCTGCCAGTTGAAGAAAAGGAAACTTAAAGAGGGCCCTCAGTTTTTCAGAAAACCCTGACCTGGATGACTGAGAACCTTCACAGACCTATTCAGTTTTTATGACAGGGAAGAAGAAGAATTGATATAAAGATCAACGGCCACATGAGAAACATGTACACAGAGGTTAAGTTTGGAAAGATACAAAGTGGAGACCCACATGTGTTAGGCTCAGGGTCAGGAAAAGGTCAGGGGTCAGGGCCAGACTCAGGAAACAGTCAGACTAAGTGGTCTTTGAGTTCAGTGGTCTGGAAGACCCCATCCAAGACCTTGGAGTGAACTGGATTGGGACTGGTTGACATCAATGAGGCTCTTGTAGGCAAAAAGAGCAGGTTAACACATCACATATGAGAGGGCTGGACTGTTCAGGTGTCCACATACTTTTGGACATGTGGTGTTATAATAGTCATGTGATATTAGTAACTGATGTTCTGACTCCATGTGGTTGGATTCATGTGACCCCTGGTGAATGTAAACCCTCTGGTTGGATTCTAATATGCTGTCTCTGTCCCTAGGGTGTTCACTGAGAGTGGCTGCTGTGAGGTCCCTCTACCACCCATGGTGGGTCCCTGCTCCTTTGTCAGTGCGATGTTCAACAAGACCACTGGTGCTGCGACTGGAGCTGTCGGCGTCTTCACCTATGACCTCTTTAATGCCGACCTGAACGACTACAGCCACGTCATGGCTGTCATGTTCTCCGTGCCCTATGACCGGAACCTCTACTCCAACTGGTTTGCCGTGGGAATCTTTGACAGAGGGAACAACTGCGACTACAACCTGTATGATATCATGTATAACGGAAATGAAAACAACTTTGTGAGAGCAAAAGCTGACGGCTCCTGCATTTCTTATGAGGGAGACTATGTTATTGTCAGTGGCTCCATGTCAGACTCAGGGGAAGCGGTCCTGAGGGTAGACATCAGTGACACTCGCATGAATTAATGTATTCAGTCGAACTGTTAGTACATGATCACACTAAGTCTAATTAAAAGTATAAATAAGCTCAATTAACTGACAGAGTTGGTAACAGCCTGAATGCTGCTTATTAATCAATGTCCATAGGTACTGGTCATCACAGTGTAAACTGATGTCCTACAAATAAAGACTGATGTGTCCATTAGATCATGTCCTCTTTGTCCAGAGTATTTATTCCAGATAAACATCTGTGACTCCTTCACATCCCTAATGTCCTCACATTTTATCACCCAACATTCATCTTACTTCTAACCACTATTTACAGCACACACATAAAGTCTGCATTAACATTAGTGCAGCAGTTCAGTTTTATCTCTGCATTAAGAACATAACCTGCTTCTTTACAGGGATGTATCCTATAACATCTAAGACGTCAGCATGGATCTGCTCTCAACCTCTATCAAAATACAAGTTCATGACTAGACATGATCCATATCTAATGAAATGAGTGGGTGAACCACACAGTCCCAAAATAAACCCCTCCGTGAAAATCTTGATGTTGAAGGGAGGCCTTTCTCTTGTCATTAATGATACAGTAAACCTGTGTTCAGGTGTATGTGAGAGGGACAAACAGTAGAGGGCAGAAGAGTTAGCATGTCTATGGTCAGTCTGAGTCTGTGGTTGAGTGTGTGTGATGATGCAAAATGTATGAACAGGAAACAATTTCTATCTGTAACTCATTAAACCAGCAGTCTATGACAACTTATTTTAATTCAAAGTAACTGGTAATATAACATAGTATAACTACACTTCATGAGTTCAGGCTGCTCTGTTTATGATTCATCTATACTGTAAAAAGTTTTAAATATCTTTTCCATCACTTTACATGTAAAGATGGTTATCAGGTTCAGACTCACCAAAGACCAGAGCCAGACCATGAGACGTCCCCACAGCAATCACACCCGACACTGTCTGAACACAAAGATATACAACTTAAGTTTGATTAGAGGAAGTCAGGAGAGGACAGAAACAAACACCTGAAAACCACATCACACTTCCTGTCTCCACCACACAGGTGTCCACAGACACACCTGTGTGTCAACATCATACAACAGATACTAAATAATACCAGCAGCTGTTAGTAGTTTATAAACTGCGATGACCTCTCACACAGTTGTGCACCCTCACCTTCTCTCTCCTCTATATTTCCTATTTTAACAGCCAAGAATAAAGCTGGGTGTGAAAAGTGTCGCAGCTATGTATGATGTCTTAAATTTTCTGTTGTATAAAACAGCTCTGTAGTTTTGTTTGTAGTTGATAGAAGTTATCAAAGAGATAAAATTAAAACCCATTAGTTTAGAATACACAGGTGAACTAATGGTTATGGCCTGTATCTGCAACATCCTCCTGTTCCTGTCTGCATGTCAACTATCATCTGCTGATAACAGCAACATTACAACAGCAGCTTCAGTGTTTATAGACACTTTTATGAACTGCAAAGAAGTTGAACTGCATGCATCATGAGGTCACACAGGGTCAGCCATTATATCACATACAGAGTAATGTCACCTCTCTGTGCTTAGCTGATTCACAGCTAAATAAATAAATACTCTAGCTAAATAAATTATACTCACTATAGCAGTCGGCAGTCCTGCGTCCACTTTGTCCTGAGAGGGAGACACAGATTTTCATTATGATGGAACACTAACTGTATGTGTGTGTGTGTGTGTGTGAGTGAGTGAGTGAGTGAGTGAGTGAGTGAGTGAGAGAGAGAGAGAGAGAGAGAGAGAGAGAGAGAGAGAGAGAGTCTTACAGCAGCAGAGACGATCTGAGCAGAGATTCCTTTCAAAAGACTGTGTCGAAGAACAGACCCATGAACTGTGGTGTTCAGATCCACTGTCCTCCGTTTTCTTTACACGTCACACACACAAAGAGACACATGAACACACACACAAAACACACACACACAGAAGAGATTTTCCATTTTACTACCTTGTACATACAAAGACAATGAGGTCTGCACAGTTACTGTGCGTGCGTGCGTGCGTGCGTGCGTGAGTGCGCGCGCGCGTGCGTGCGTGCGTGCGCGTGTGCGTGCGTGCGTGCGTGCGCGTGTGCGTGCGCGCGTGTGTGCGTGCGTGTGTGCGTTCATGCCGTTTAAGGTGTGTTGGGTCTCCACTGTCAGAGCTGGCCAGAGAGGACGTGTCACAGGAGTGAGCATCCATGTTGTCCGTGCTGAGCACACAGGTGTCCTCCAACACGAATGGCTCCTCCTCATCCTCCAGCTGCAGACACACAGGATTACAAACACACATCAGCTGTAAGGTTCATGTCAGATCATTGAATCTGTCAGTTTCGGCTGTTTTAAAACTGACATTGAAGTGATGTGAGGATGATGAGGGCAGTATCATGGTGATACTGTGTGACTGTATGACAATAACCAAATCAGTAACATGACCAAGAAACGAAATCACTGTCTTACAGGATCATCAAAGTTAAAGGCATCATCTGTAGTTTTTAAACACACTAATAATCAGGGGTCACCAACCCGTCTGTTATATTCCACCTGTTGATCTCTTCATCTCAAAGTATTTCAAACCACAAGTTAAATCCAATCAACACAGCACAGCACCATCACTTCCTGCTGCTCCTACCACTGATTCTGCAACAGTCCCATTCAGGGGTCTACATCTGCCCCCACATACAGGACTATGCTTCAAAAAGACAAAGAGTAAACGCATGTGGAGTGAGCGTAGTGTTTGTTATGCACTGGTGCTTGAACTGCATAGACTGGTCCATCTTTCAGGGCTCATTTAGTACTTCTGACTGAAGTGGTGTGTCGTTACAGCACGTATGGTTTTGTGTGGACAGTGCAATTCTTTTAAAGGTTTTCAATTTTTAAAGACCCCTCTGATGAAAATAAAGTGTTTAACCTTGTCAACATCCATATGATGTTTTTATGCCTCCATGCCAGCAACAGTCAGAGCCGGAGGCATATTGTTTTCGGGTTGTCCGTCCCTCCCATTCTCATGGACACAATATCAAATTTGGCACCAATATTCCCTAGGGCTTGAGGATGAACCGATTAGATTTTGGGGGTCATAGGTCAAAGGTCATGGTCGTGGGCAGCATTTTATTTTCAAATACGGGACAAACCCGTACTATATGTGATGGGTGGCAACCCTAGCCACTTCAGTTGTTGTGGTCCTTTATTTTTTTTTTAAGTCCTGTTTCAGTTTTTTTTTTTACCTTCTCCCAGACCTGTTATACGGTGTAGAAAATGTGTTTGCTCGCTCGCTCACTGCGGACTTTTAAACATCGCAGGTGAAATAAAATGCAGCAAGTACTCCACTAGTCAGAAATGTTCAGCACTGCAGACCACACCCCCCAAAGTTCCTGAACCTTTGGAAAGTACTACCTCCCAACCAGGGACTTTTTTGGGGGTTGATCAATTACCCCGGAACCAAATTTAGACCCTGGGGGAAAAATGTTATTTCTGGGTATTAGGTTTAGTTATTGCTTGTGTTGTTTTCCCCCTTTTTGTTTCTAATGGGCTGATCTGCCAGTATACAGTATATGTTTCCCTTCTGTCTCATTTTGTTAGGTCCGTTGGTTGAGTTAAGGTTGTGTTTTGTTTGGCAGTATTTTTTGAGTATATTTCTGTTTGGTTGACCTCTTTTAAGGGCTGAGTTATTTACTAAAGTTGCGTATTTTCATTAATTTGTATTTTTGGATGTGTTGTTGGTGAAATAAAACTCTTCTTTTGAAAAGTGAACCTGTGCTCGCTTGTCTTTTGACTGCTTGGTCCCCGACACTCAGTTACAGTGAAGGAAACTTCAAATTTGGCACAAATAATCACTTGGACTCAAGATTAGATTTTGGTGATCAAAGGTCAAAGGTCAAAGTTGAAGGCTAGGGTGACCTCACAAAACACGCAATATCTCTATAACGCCCTGATGAAACTTCTTCAAATTTGGCACAAACATTCACAAGACTCAAGGATGAACTGATTAGATTTTGGTGGCTAAAAGTCAAAGGTCAAGGTCATAGTGTCCTCACAAAACATGATCTTGATCTTGTGAATGCAACATCTCCTTAACTCTTCAAGGGAATCCCTTCAAATTTTGCAAAAATGTCTAATTGGACTAAAGGACGAACTGATTAGAATTTGGTGTTCAAGGGTCAAAGGTTAAGGTCATGGTGACCTCAGAAAACACTTTTTAGCCATTATTCAAGACTTCACACAGAAATTATGAAACTGAAACTAAAACTGACTGAAAGTAGTCTCAGTGGTGGAGGCATACAATCACAAGGTGGTTATTCTAGTTATATAATACAAGACATATGATGGGTGAAATAATCAGTCAACACCATAACTGAGTATTTAAGGAACCAATCCTGTCAACTTGTGGGGATGAGGGGCAGGGCTAAATAAACATGAAACCTTGTCAGTACAGAGAGCCAGAGTTAGCATTAGCATAACCACTAACACTGTGTCAGCCACTGCCAGTTACAAGCTAACAAACAACATAAACAAGTAAGAGATGCTAACTACGCCAACCGTTCTGATGGATGGATGGGTGGGTGGATGGATGGATGGATGGATGGATGGATGGATGGATGGATGGATGGATGGATGGATGGATGGATGGATGAATGGATAGATGGATAGATGGATAGATACTTTATTTATCCACTATGGGAAGTTCATGTGTCCAGTAGCTCATTGGTAATAATAACAGTTACTAACAGATACTGTACATCTGCTAGTCTCAACAGACTCCTCATCTGAGTCTAGATCTGACTAAGGCTCAAACATGTAGTCTCTCTGATGTTTTCTCCTCTAACCATCTTGATACTTTCTGCTCTTTCACCTGTCAACCTGGAGCAAACAGGTGGTGGGCAAGGCCTGATCCAGATTTCTCAATCAGGAAGTAAGAGTGGACGAGCTTCAGACCAGTTTTTGAATTTTCTTTCACTTTTTATGTGTGAAAACCATGTTAAACACAACATTAATCATAGCTGAGGATTCTTTACAGAGTTTAAAACATGACTGGAGGAACTCAAAAATAAATAAAATAACAAGTCACAGGCCTGGTGTTGTTTTATCTGAAACTTCTCTTGGTTTTCTGGATCTTATGTTGACTCCACAGTTCCTCTTAACTGCCATTTCTGCATGTCAGACAATGGAACATTTGAGCTTTCTTTTTAACCCCACCCCCTAACGTAAATGTCCAACCACCGGGGCAAAAAACTTCTCTGGCAGATACCCTGTAGCTTCATTTTCAGATCATCAGTCGGTTGCTGAGAGGAGCTCATAGTTGTTGAGTGTCAGCTGATAATTCATAAGGAAAATTCATGTCACCTCAAAAATCAACAAAACATAGCATTAGTCCAGAGGTAACTTCAGTACACCACTGTACAGTTTAGACTGTGGAGAAGTGAAGCAACTTCTCAAAGATGATTCAGATTCAAAGCCAAAGAGTAACATGTACTTGACCTCATTGAGGATGCTCTCCAGTGTGGGGGGTGTGTCCACTTGGGGAATATCAAACTCCTTATCATCGATCTGAGAAGTAGAATGAAAACAGAAAGTTAGAAATCAGAATTTATTCTCATTGTCATATCTGACACTCCTCCCTGCCTCCTGCAGACAGCAGGTCTTTTAACATTAACAAAGAAACTTTCAGGTTTGGGCACATGTAAAAATAGTTTCATATTAAACCAAACACTGGACCAGAAAGATGTACAGAATTACACCACTAAGTGTCGCACTTGGCTCAGCAGACCCTCCTGAGTGGAACATAATGAGACTGAATGAGACTGAGAGTCCATTGTTGAGAGTAGGAACTAGAGCTTCCACAGTTAACTGAAAAATTATCAAACCAACATGTAAAACGTCTCATGACTTTATCCTTCTCATGTCGGTTCATTCAGTTCATACTTTACTCAATGATGCTTTCATGATCTGTCCCCTTGATAAAATACTAGTTGGTGTTTGCCCATGTGTCTCCGCCCTGTCCAACTAATGTTAGTCTGTGTTGACACAAAGTGAAGCTGGTGATGTGGATGAGATGAGCACACTGAGCCTGAACCTGAGCAGCTTAAACCTAAAAGAGGACGTGTCTGTTGTTTGGACACAGTTTGTCAAAAAGCAGGAAAACTGTTTCAAAGACCAAAGGCAACACCACCAATAACATCACACAATCACGATCACACTTTTTTTTGTTTGTAGGAGAAGCAAGATATTATTTTCAACGTTTTAGGGAAACAGCTTTTTATTTTGAAACTTTACACACTTTTTAACTTTTTCTCAAGATGTTTTCATGTCAAGTAATGTGTGGTTTGATTTCAACAGTTCCAAATGTAAAAAGTAAGAAGCCAGAAATAGTTCATCCATGTTTCCTTCAATTATTTAAAAGTAACACCTTCATTAGAAAATATCTAAACTTTAATAGTTCTGCTGTGTCTCTGCTGTGTCTCAGCCTTGTCTCTGCTGTTTAAGCTTTGTCTCTATTGTGTCTAAGCTTTGATTCAGTTGTGTACCAGCTGTGTCTCAGCTTTCTCTGCTGTGTCTCAGCTTTGTCTTAGCTGTGTCTCTGTTTTGTTTCAGTCATGTCTCAAAACGTATCTCAGCTTTGTCTTAGCTGTGTCGCAGTCATGTCTCATCATGTCTCAATTGTGTCTCTGCTGTGTATCAGTACTGACTACAGTCCACAATAGGTAACATTCATATATTTGGACTAAATTACCCACAAAGCATAACTAGTTTGCCAACTCTGACATCCAGGTCAACAAGAATGGAAGAGATCTCCTGCAGCTGTCAAAGCCTGGGTCTGTACATTGTAAACTGTAGGTTGCAAGGGGATTCTTCAGGAAGACATACTTTTTTCTCATCTCTTGGCAACAGCACAGTTGATTACATTATAACAGATCTAAAGCCTTTCTCTCTCAGTGCATTCATAGTTAAACAATTGACCCCTCTATCTGACCACAGCCAGATTACTGTGTTTATGAACAGGACAGAAACTAAAAACACCACACCTCTACAGCCCAATAAGCTGTATCACATTAGAAAATCATACAGATGGGCCGAAAACAGCACAGAAGAGGTCCAGAAGGCAATAAGCACCCCCAAAATCCAAACACTATTAGACCCCTTTCTGGACACCACATACACTCAGAGCAAAGAAGCCATTAATGATGCAGATAGACACGTCAAGCACATTATCATGCAGACTACAAAAAAAATCCAATAGAAACAATCCAAAAATAAACTTAGAAAGCCCAAATATGATAATTGGTTTGACAAAGAATATAAAGAAATTAGGAAGAAAAGTTTAGGAGGTTATCCAATCAAAAGCAGAGATCCAGGAAGCGTCTTCTTTACTGTGACACACTTGAAAAATACAAACATACACACAATAAAAAAAGCACAATACACACACACAAACAACTTACATTAATTGAGGAATCCATAAATACCACTGTTTTGGGGAAAATATGAATAATATTAAGAAATCCAAATTTGAAAATAGATATAAAGAATGGAGACATATGGGTTGATCATTTCAAAGCACTGTATGAAAAATTACCAAACAACACAGAATCAAATCCAAATCCAAATAATAGCAAATTAAATGAACTCAAACTGGCAATAAAAGAAAATCATAATCCCCTGGACTCCCCCAGTACTGAGCAGGAACTGAGAGAAAAATTCTCAGCCCTAAAACCCAAAAAAGCCAGCAGGCTTCTTGATTGCATCATGGATGAGTTGCTGAAATGCAAAACTCCTATTGGCCATCCTGAAACTATTCAATTTGATTCTGGGAGTAAGTTACTTCCCCGACATCTGAAATCACGGTCTCATCACACCAATTTTCAAAAGATAAATTCGACCCAAATAATTAGAGGTATCTGTGTAAACAGTAATCTGGGGAAGGTTCTTTGTAGCATTATAAATTCAAGGCTCATAAACTTCCTTACTAAACACAATGTCTTGGATTGGATTCATACCAAAACGCCACACTTCAGATCATATCTACACCCTACACGCCTCAATCAACAAACAAATCCACCAAGACAAGACGATTTCTTTTGATTCTATTTGGTACAATGGTCTCTTTATAAAGGGGTAAAACATATGACGTTATTAAATCAATGTACACAAACAACAAGTGTGTGATAAAAATTGGCAACTGAAGGACAAAATTCTTCATTCAGAGACATGGAGTGAGAGAAGGCCGCTGTTTGAGTCCAACTCTATCCAACATCTATATCAATGAACTCGCCACTGTCTAGAGATCAATAGTACCCGGTCTTACTCTACATGACACTGACATCAAACTCCTGTTCTATGTAGATTACCTGGTTCTGCTGTCTCTCACTGTACAGGGGCTACAGCAGAACCTGGACCTGCTGGAACAGGACCGCCGTATCTGGGCCCTGGCAGTAAACATAAAAAATACTAAAACTTTGATTTTTCAAATAAGATCCAGATCTCAGGGGAAATACATGTCATTGAATCTCACTCAAATTATTTGAATCATCATAATCCCTACACCTCACTCACTATGGTAGTGGGGTGCGGGGTCATCTTTCTTACCAAAATTTGGCCAAATTGGAAAAGTACCCGATTGAAATTGTGCACTCAGAGTTCTGCAAAAGCATCATACAGGTGGACAGAAAAACCACAAACATCTGCTGCAGAGCTGAATTAGGCCGATTCCCATTACTCATCAAAATTTAAAAAGAGCAATCTAATACTTGCTTGAAAACAGTGAATCCCACTCCTATCACTACAAAGCCCTGCAGTGCCAAGAGCTGAGCAAAGAAAACAGTCTCCTCACTCAGCTCGCCCTGATGCTAAGTTTACAAACACCTTATGACCCAGTTCTGCCTCAGGACCAGTCTGACAACAAACCAATCAGAAGCAATGTTGTTATAACACACCAGAAACAAAATGATGTCATCCACTGGAACACACAAACAAAAATACAAAGCAGAATGCAGTGCTATCTGGCCCTAGAAAGACAGAGTTGAGACAGAGCAGCAAATCCAAACAAAATATTTCCATTCGACCACATGACGAACATAAACAAACTGACAATCCTGCTGGAGAGCACAGAGAGAGCTGCATCCTTGCTGCAGAGCATTCTTTACCTGCCATACTGTGAGGACAGTTGATGCTGTCTTGTGCAGTCTGTTTTGACAATGCTGTATCTGATAACAGTCATGTCAATAAAGCTTCTTTGAATTTGGGAGGGTAACACATGAAGGAGGAACCAAGATATGAAATGCCTTATTTTCAGATACTAAATGAAGAGGTTCCCAGAGGAAATCAAATCTGCCCTGTAACTCCTGACAGGTCAGTAAAGCATTATCTTTCAGTAAGTCACCAGGTGTCCTGCCAGAAAGAGAATAATGTCTGCAGGAAAGTCAGAGACAGCACAGAGTTTACATCTTTTCTTTTTATGTTTTTAGTTACATCATCGCAGATTGTACCAGACACTTTTTTTGTGAAGGTCTCATTTTACCCCTGAATATAACTTATTATTGTGTATCATACATGACCAGCATAGCAAAGCGAGTCATATTAGCTGGTGATTTCAAGTTCTGATCTTTTCTCTTGGTTTGCCAAACTAATTTAGCAATGGCCTTTTCCAAACCAAGGTTGACTTTCCTGGGTAGATGAAGAGGGAGGATCTGCAGGGGATACAAGAGTCAAGGGAGGTTTTTAGTGACTAATAAATTTCTTGAGAAATTGTGTACTTCACTCCTCATGTTTCAATCTGTAAGAAGGGCGTTACTTTCCGTTTCATTCATGTCGTAGAGACTTATCCCGACACTGACTGTCACTGCAGGTGTCCCTCAAAAAGCATTTTAAAGCTGTCATGACTGGCCAAAATAACCTCACACTGATGGTTTCAAACCCAAATTTGTCCCCACAAACATAGCAAGACATGTATACACACATGTACATGCCCTAACAGAAGTTGATCTGCAATAAAGCTTTACCACTATATCCCCATATAGACAATAGCTTCTAATATTTAACTTTTATGACCTACCTTGCCTCTTACCTTTTGGAGATTCTTATTTTGAAAGTGTCTGTGCTTCTGTGTTTGGCAGTATAAATTGCATAAGGTTTTGTACAACAGAGCCAATAATTCCCTCTTACCATGTTGAGACTTTTATTTTGAAGGTTAATCCAATGGGTGGAGATGGTATTTGTGCGTTTCTGTCATTATATATGTGTGTGTGTGTGTGTGTGTGTGTGTGTGTGTGTGTGTTTGTATGTAGTGGTAGAGCTGCCCAACAGAAACTCCAGTAAGTTCTTTTTATCTGGTTGAGACTCTTATTTTGAAGGTAAATATCAAAAAAGTAAGATAGTATTATGTGTGTGTCTGTCAATATGCATGTGTATATTGTTGTTTGTGGCAGTAAAGCTGTCTATCATAGAGCCTCCAAAAAGCTTGTGTTAGTTACCAGGTTGAGTCGTGGTGATAGAGTTTATGTGTCTTCTAACCTTCAAACAGCCCTTTCAAGTTGTCACGACTGGCCAAAATTGCCTCACAGTAATGGTTTTTAACCAAAAATGTCCTCAAAATTATAGAAAGACATGCACACACATGCAAAGAACCACACATCAACACGCACACACACAAGTACATGCAAATACACCATGTTGATTTATCTTAGAGTTGCTCTCATACCCAATGTAAAAGTCTAAGAATCAATGTTTAATTAGCCAGTCAGAATCAGCTTTGCCCATTTCTGCCCAGTAACACCTGCTCCTGAATTTGTATTGCACTCGATGGAAGAGGTGGAGGGTACCATCACTTCCTCAAAAACTGTAAAAGATATCAGAATGAGAGCAAAACTGGGTGACAAAGGACAAAAAATCTACATTTTTCGTATAAAAATTGTCAATGAAGGTTGAAAATTGCGGGATTTAAAAGAGCTTGTCTGACTTTTTTGAGGAAAATGTTCAGGTTAGAGTGCGCAGTTAGCTCTGGTTAGCAAATGGAGCTGTGCCTAAAGACAGCAGACATCGCTGAATATGTAATAAATATCACAATCATCTACACTGAAGTTACAACAACATCAAACCAAGCAAGGGAGAAAGAGGGAGAGAATGAGAAGCTAGTGCTAACTGCTAAGCTAGGGTAACTAGCAGATCTGAACAGCATGTAAACAACGGCTGAATTAGTGAAAGTCACTAAAAGGAGCATACAGCTCTGAGAGCTGGAGCAGAACCAGTGTAAGTTTAAATGTACAGCAGGTAGTTAGACACTGTGATGAAGAAAACAGCAACATTAACTGTGTTCAGATAGAGCAGCAATAAACTCTACCAGTAACAGAAACTGACTGGAGATAGAACACCAAACTGACATCAGCACGTGACCATGTCACCACATGAATGTCGTCACTACTATTAGTGAAAAGACATCAGTAAAAGTAAATCACTGTGTAAAAATGTTCTCTGATAAAACAACAAAGTAAGTCAGTTAAAATGTTTCTGAGTAAAGGTGTTACTGCGTTACGCGTTATGGTGGTGTTACTGCGTTATGAGGATGGAGGGTAGTGTTGCTTCCATCAACGAAAATTATGACTAAATGTCTTCGTCAACGAACCTTTATCATGTGACGAAAACGAGACGAGACGCAACGTAAATGCTGGTCATGTGACGATAACTATAATTAAATATATAATGCAATATTGTTGACGAATAAAAACGAGACTAAATATGGTTTACAAAATAAAAACTCTGCTAAAATGTCTCTTCATTTTCGTTGACTAAAACGAGACGAGACGAAATGTTATAACGTCATTTTGACTCGTTTAGTCGAGTTATTATTATTTTGCATGCGACGTCACTTCCTCAATCCCCACTCGCGGGCGGCATTTAGAAGTTGCAGCTGCGGTTGAACGACAATTTCAGAAACATAACACGACAGAGAAAAGGACCGATAGCCGGCAGCCAGTCGGGGTTCTTCTTTGGAAGAAAAAGACGAAATGACATTTGGACACACTTTCATTACATAGAGGTGGAAAAAAACAGAATGTGTTGTGGAAAAAGATGGGGAGAAATGCGGCCACAAAATCACAGGAAAACATGTTTGGTTGGTAAAATAAATATGTTGTAAATTCAAATCAGAGCGTCTTGTGTGTCTGGAATGGATGTATTCTTGAGTCTATAAGGTAACAATAATATAATAATAAGATAACCTTGTTTGAACTGTGAAATGGGTTTGGCTAAAAGAAAATTTTGGTTTTGTCTATACTACTAGGTACTTATACTATACTGGGTTAAATAGAATTGCATTACTAGAAAGAGACTAAAATAAAATTTTCATTGACTAAAACTAGACTAAAATGTCATCGGTTTTCGTCGACTAAAACTAGACTAAAATAGTCATGGATGATTCTGACTAAAATAAGACTAAAATGCTCAGACTTTTAGTCGACTAAAACTTGACTAGACTAAAAAGAGTATGAACATGACTAAAACTAATAAAAACTAAAATGACAGCTTGACACAAAGACTAGACTAAAACTAAAATTAAAACAGGCCGCTAAAAACAACACTAATGGAGGGGTCAAACATGTTATAGGGTGATAATAATAATATATGATAAAAATATAAAATTAAAGGACATCTTTAGGCTACCAGATATATCAGTTCCTAGGTGAGAACAGCAACGAAATCAACCAATTAATTGTAGTTAAGATTGCTGTCTTAATCTAATTATAATTTTTTACAGTTTAATTTTCAAATATCAAGTCAAATAAAAAAAACCGTTTGATTGGGTACACAGCACCATGTTCATTCCAAAATACAATGTAACCTCTTATTTCGTCATGTGTGCGTGAAATAGTCTGTCAAATGTTTGTTTGAGGCGAGGTAATTTATGACCTGTCCTTTGAAAATAAATACATGGAACTCACATTTGTGGGTATATGGCATTTCATCCATCCCGGACTCAAAGCGATGCTGCACTCGTCTGGGAGTGTGGCTTGTAAATCTGCATCGATGCAGACTAGGTGTTGGAGGGCTTTATAACCCACTCCCACTTAAGGGTCATTAGCTGGAACGACACTCAATGTGGCGGACCCTTCACACGCACGCGCGAACTGAGTGAGAGTGGGTAGGGGGAGTGTTTAGGGGCCGGGTTGGAATTAGGTCACTGTCTGAGGCACAGAGCCAACACTTCCTGTTCACTGAGCTGCATGATGAATACTGGATCACGTGACAGAGTCCAGACTCTGAAGTGGTGTGATGTAAAACATAAGGCTCAACCTCAAACAGGAAGCTGTAGTGGGTCCAGCTGGAGCCAGAATCCATCAGGCTGTTTTACACTTTAATAACATGTTGTTTTCCTCACAACGACCAGCTTCGATGATCACACATTAACATTATTACGTGTTTCCTTTTGTAGCTGTGGAAAGTTTCAGTAAGATCAGGATCTGGAGCAGTGCGTCTGTGTACTTAGCCACATCTCACGGTGTATCAACGGTGGGAAAACAATAGTCAAATCTCCACATTAGAACACATTATAAAAGTAGATTCTCTCACCACGTCTACCTCCATCAGGTTGAGTTGGGAGGAGGCAGAGAGCAGGCTGCGGGCGTCCGGAGACTCCGACATGACTGGGTCTGCCCGGACTGAGAAGATCGTCTGTGTCCGTTTGTGGCAGGAACCAGTTAATCACAGCTTCCGTTTGAATTTCAGAGTAAAGTTTCTAAATATACTTAAGCGGGCTGAGAACCGACCGTAAGTTAATGTATTATTTTGATGACGGCACGATGATCATAATAGTAAAGAAAAAAAACTATTGACAGTCCCTGAAACATGACAAAATGTACCGTTTCACGCTACATTCAGTGATATTATAATCTGTTCATTTCAAACACTGTTGTTTGTCATCACTAAAACTAATGTACAACCATACAGCTCTCTGCACTGTGGGTTTACTACTGGGTTGAGCACATGTTTTAATAGAACTGGGTCAAAACCATCTCAGGAACTGGATGATTAAAGTTCACATCCCAGCAGACCACAGGAAAACATCTGGTGAGGAAGAGAGTTGGGTTCAGACAGACATGCTGCGGCAGCTGGGGAGAGTCAGTTCCATCTGAAGCATCACTTCGGGTAAATGAGGTGAATAATATTGGTCTGGTGCCTATAAGTCAGATGGATGGTGATCTCAAAGCACTTAACAACGTATAATATGACAAAGACAAAAGTTGTTTCTCCACTGATTTTTCCTAATTATTAATTCACACACCTCTACATCATCCCCATGGTTCTCTTTTTGGTTCCACTTTTGGCAAATACCAACAAACTAACCTGCTGTGCCCCTTGAGTGATATTGTAAATATGTCAACACAAAAGAAACAACGTTCCTTTTCATCAGAACAGTGCAAACCACACTTTCTGTGACAGTAACACAAACTGCGTTTAAACACCCTCAGATCTTAAGTTAAGTGAGTGTGGATGACAATAAGTGAAGTTGTGATTACATCAGTACTGAATTTACTGTCTTGGGGTTATCTCTCCCCCAAGTTTTAAATGGGAACGGCTGACAGACACACCTTGCACTGGTGAGGTGCTGGCTCAGAGACAGACATCACAGAAAGGAGTAGAAAACTGACTCTGGTGCACTTTTATATTTTTAGTTCTACAAGTCAATGTTTCATCACATTGCCTTCTTCAGGATAAAGTCAGCAGACCCCAACTCATGTACAGGTGGGACAGGTATTACATAGTTCAGTACAGTGTAATTAATTAGTGAGGGACAGTATTTCATGGCAGCCATTACAATCCAGTTCTTCCCCTGCTTTGATTTGATATAAGTCTTGATGTGTTGGACTGTTCTGTCTTTGGTCTTCAGTCTGGTCCCAGACTTTTTATACTGTGACTCTAAGCTGTGGTCTTAACAGCTGAAACAATTACTACATTAATAGTCAACTGATAGTAAAGGAATCATCAACTATTTTGATAGCTGATTAATTATTTTTAGTAATTTTCTCTATCTGTATAACCAAACACTCATTGGCGTCTCTTCAGGAGAACTATCATTATTATTATTAACATTGCTGTCATTATTATTAATATTATTATTATTATTATTATTATTATTATTATTATAGTAATAATTACAATGACAGCAAGGTAAGTTGTTTTCCTAATTGATGAGAATATTTTAGACCTCTTTGGTAAAAATCTGTTATTGTCTAAGTGACACTAAAAACGTGGGAGCCACTTTAATTCATGTTAGACAGAATCTATCCTGTAAATATGACATTTATTTTAAACTGTGTCATTTCAATACAGATGTCCATGATGTCGGTCTGTAGAAGAGCATGAGTCTGTCATGTTTATGTGTTTGACCACAGACGTATGTGTGAGTCTGTTGGAAAAACAAGGAGTGAAGAAAGGAGTTAAAGAGGAAAGGAGACAAGGACACCAACGCACAGTGTTGGGTCGCGGCAGGCTGTATTCCTTCGACTCCGTTCACCTCCATTCACACAGTAAATAAAAGCATGGAGGCTCCGACTCTCGGGATCTAACACCAGCAGCGGGGGGTAAAGACACTGCCGCATGCGCTCTTCCTTCCACCAAAAACACGCAGAAAGGAAGTGGGGACGCTCTGCCTCTTTGATTTAACTGATTTTGAGGAGGAAGGAAGACTGTGGTTGGCGTCGGGAGCGGGGCAGCCCGCCGTGCCGAGCATGAAGCGGACGGCTGTAGTGGCCAGGCACAATGGCCTCGTCTCTCCGCTGGGGAACAACAACTCTGGAGCTTCGAGCATCGTCTCGCCGCCCCAGCCGAGAGCCACTAGCATCTCCGCTTCTGCCGACAGTGGTGTCGGCGGCGGGGTGGACGGCCTGCTGGATTTCTCCAAAGGCCCCGTCGTCAAAACCGAACTGGTCTGTAAATGGATTGACCGAACTTCACCGAGACATAGGCTGGGGCGGACGGCGACATCCGTCTGCGACCAAACTTTCAGCTCCATGCACGAGCTGGTGGACCACGTCACCACCGAGCATGTAGCAGCGGGGCTCGAGACCCTCAGTCATGTCTGCATGTGGGACGAGTGCATGCGCGGCGGGAAGGCGTTCAAAGCCAAATACAAACTCATCAACCACATTCGCGTGCACACCGGGGAAAAGCCTTTTTCATGTGCATTTCCCAACTGCGGCAAGATGTTCGCACGCTCCGAGAACCTCAAGATTCACACACGCACGCACACTGGTATGGTTTCATGATTGTCTGAACACACACACACACACACACACACACACACACACACACACACACACACAGCTTAACACGGTCACTGTAGTCTTTAATCCATGTCAGCCACCAGGACAGCATTTCCTGACACTGAAAATAAAGAGGTTCACACAGACTGTCCCCAGTCTGCAAGGAATCCCCTCCATGTTTACGTCGGCCTGGTTCAGCTCCAGTTCACTCCGTCCTTCACTGCTCCCTTGTTTCCTAGAAGGATCGCGGCTGTGAGCTGCAGGAGTCATGTAAGGTGACAGGAAGCAGCAGATAGCAGCTGGAGAGTCAGAATGAACGTGTTGAACACAGCAGATACACGTGGTTATTGATTATTTTATAAATATAGAGTTTACAGAAATTATATTGTTTTAACCCAGAATCAGATAATGAGCAGTTTAAACTAACAGTTTTTTTCAGTGAGACCCAGTATTCAGATAGTCTTTACGAAGGGTAAATAATAATAAATCATAACTAATGACTTTATTAATGGTTAATAAACATTTTTCTAATTGTTTATAAATCAGTTATAGGATATTTATAAGAACATCTCTTGTTGCCAGGTTGGTTAACAATTATTGCTTTACATTATATATTATTCAGTGTGAGAACCGAGATGATACTTATAATGGTCTCTGATCAGGCTCAGTGTTAACCTCTCACTGAAATCCATTCATTAACAACTGAAGACTTCATTATCTTAAGACCCAACCAATCTAATGTCAGGTGACATACTCACACCTGGACAGGTGGTTTATCACAAAGTGAGAAATCAGTTGAACTAGAAATCCAACTGAAAAGGTAAAGTACATGTAATCATGGAGGAGAATGAGTATCAGATGAGTCAGGGGCAGAACTACCTGGTTGATCTCACAAGGTCACAAGGACCACAAATAAACCATAAAGGGACAGTGCTTAAATATAGTCAGTAACTGCACAATAATGACACACATACATATATATACATATGTGACAAATAAAAGGCAAATCCTGAACAATGAGTTTAGGAATGTGACAACTGTTTCCATCCTCAGGTCACAGGGGTCACTGATGGTTTGATCAGGATGAAGATGATGTGATGTGAATCATGTTCACAATCACATGATCTCAGTCCAGTTGAACTATGGTATATTTGAAAGTAACATGTTTGACACAACTCTCCTCCGCCACCATCATCAAAACACTAATGAGGGAATATGTTTATGAAGAATGGTGTTCATCCTCCAGTAGAGTTCAGAGACTTGGAGCAGTGAAGCTGCTCTGGAGGAAGAACACCTGACTGAGACTCTTTATGATGGTTTGTCCTTTAATCGGTCACCAAATCCCCCTTAGGGTCCCACGACTTTTAATTTACTCTGTCTGAGAGTGAGTTCTTTTTGATAATATTTCTATTATGTATTTAAACACAAAAAACATAAAACAACTTCCAATATACAAACAAAGCAGAGTGACCACAAGAACTAATCCACTTTAGATCAAAGGTACAACACTCATATTGTGTATACACACAGACATATATGTGGGAAATTACATTTTTCTTATGGTTTATAATAATAATATAATATCTAATAATATAAAAAATATACATTATACACATGTAATCCTCCATCATCTACTTTCAGACATCAGAGAAACATTTCATATCACCTATTACAGTGACATTATAGAAATTACATTAAAAATGACATTTTATGTTCAGAAATAAAACAGAAACAGATATGGACCAGTTTTAACCTAAATAAAAAAAATAATACTTCCACTTCCTACAAGATAAATCATTGTATTTATGTTTAAACATTCCCCAGTGATTCAACAGGAGAAGGTTCCCAGTATAATTTCTTCATAAACACTCAGTGTTGTTTTTTGAGATGTCTGTTATCAGGGAATAAATAACTGTGTTATTCACAAATTAAACTCTTCTTAGATTAAGATCTGACTGGTCTGAAGAAAAAACTATGCCACAGGAACATTTACCTGAACACAGCCCCTCATACAGTAAACCTTCTGACAGTTTAGGTCAGATTACAGATGTGTACATATATTGGTTGTGGAGAAGAAAGTAAATCATAGAGCACATTTACAGAATGTGCCCTATAATTTAAAAGAACAAAGTCCTTCACAGTGAGATTAAATTATGGGATTATCACTAACTAGCAGCAGTTAGGGCCCATTCATGACTTTTATTACGGTGAGTGCTGTGTGTGTGTTGCAGGTGAGAAGCCGTTCCAGTGTGAGTTCTGCGAGCGACGCTTTGCCAACAGCAGTGACCGGAAGAAGCACTCACAGGTCCACACGGCCTCGAAGCCCTATGACTGCAAGGCCCTGGGCTGCACCAAGTCCTACACCCACCCCAGCTCCCTGCGCAAACATATGAAGGTTCACATCAAGTCGTCACCTACCTCTGAACCCCAGGACTCATACGACTCCATCCCTCATCAACTCCAACAACCTCACCTGGCACTCCTTGAGCCCCTTGACCTGAAAATGAACCGCCTCTCTCCTTCACTTGCCGACAAAAACACTACTTTTCCTCTTCTGTCTAACCATGAGTTGGACATCAGCTCTGCGAGCGATGTAGACCACAAGCTGCTGCTGCGGAGCTCATCTCCGATGGCGATGCCTCTAGATCTGTCTCTGTCAGGCCTGAAGAGTCAGCTGGCCCAGAAGCAGCAGAGCAGCAGGACCCCTCGGAGGAGTCAGCGTTCAGTCAACCCAGCCTTACCTCAGTTGTCTAACATTAAAGAGTGGTATGTCTGTACCAGGACTACAGCACCACACTTCCCTCTACTTCACCCAGACCACATTAAATCAGAACCTAGTGATGATGAAGAGTACGTCACGTAGGATGGAGGGCTTGGTGAAACTGGAGGTGAACAACAGACCTCATACATTATCAGACCAGGTCAGGTCAGACAATGCTCTGTGGAATCATAGTTGGAGCAGTTGTATGATTCAACATCAGTGGTCCCTCTGAGATGGGGCTCAGATGGAGGGCTGCTTCACTTGTCACCATCTGTGGACCAAAAACAACGGCTCACATGATGCATCAGAGGAATTTAATTTCTGTTTCTCGAACTAAACAAAAAACTGCCAGTTATCTGATCAGTGTTAGCGCACTAACCTGAGCTAACAGAAGGGATAACTTTGTACAGATGGACCAGTGAATGTTGGTGACTGCTCTGCTGTAAAGATGAAGAGGTGTGTATATGATTAGTTTATCTGAGAGCTCCTCCTAAATGAAGCAATTTCAAGGGCTAAACTGACACTGAAGGAAGGTGGTTGATGTTAACCTGAGCTCACAGTAATATTGTACACATGGTAACAGAGCAGTGAGTGTGTGCCTGTTAAGGCCGCAGTATCATGACTGGAATCAGCTGATTGTGCTGTCGGAGGGTTTCAGGTGTTTGGTGCAGACTGAGGCCTTCACTAATGAACCCTGGTAGGGACTTGTTGATGTGACCACAGTCTAATCCAACAGAGCAGTCAGCTATGGGACTGATCATCAAGTGTCTCCTTAACCTCTTCAACTCTATGGACCTGTCAGTGAGTTAACCGTGAATGTTTACACTCCATTTAACCTTTAGTTCAGACCCCAGGTTTCCACAATGACCTCTGTCATACACAGATTCATTTAACATCAAATGTGTATTAAATGATCTACAAACCAATCAATGAATCAATGAATCAGTCCAATGTGTCGTGTGAGAAGTGTGTGTGTGTCTGTGCTAAAATGGTTAACTAGTGACTTATACAATATCCAGCCACTAGTAGTTCATTTCAACCTAGATGTGAACCTGGGAGACGATGAACCCAACCTGAAAAAGATTAACGTACAGAGATACCTGATTTAAATTACTGTGTTATCACCTTGGTCTTAACAGACCAGGTAAAACTGAAGGTGAGCACCTGAAATGTCTCAGTGATCCCTCATTACACTGGCACATATCTACAGAAAGTGCAGTAATAATAATAACAAGATAATAATAATAATAAACTTTATTTGTATGCACCTTTCATACAAGAAATGGAGCACAGTGCTTTACAAGTAATAAATTACATTCACCACAAGTGCATCACATGAGAATACATAAAATGTAAATGTTAAAACACTGACGTAAAATGAGATGGAATAATAACAACAGAAAAAATGAAATAAATAATTAAATAAGTAAAAAATGTATTACATAGAAACCATAAAATCAGTAAGACATCAGTAATTATAACAGCATTTAAAAGGAGTGCTGAGCAAAGTGCAAACTATAAGATACGTTTGAAGTTTCATTATAAAAATACTTAATGAGCTGATATCTATAGGTCGTGTTTGGGCCATAACTGACAAAGGCTGCATCCCCAATTTCCCTATGGCTGTTACTGGGAAGCTTCAATAAACCACCAGTATGATCTCAGTGTTCTTGGAGGTATAGAGTTGACAATGGAGTTTACAGTGTAGCTTGGTCCTCGCCCATTAAGGCCTTTGTATATAAGGAGGAGGATCTTAAAATCAATTCTAAATGTAACAGGAAGCCAGTGCAGAGCAGCTAAAACTGAACTGATGTGGTCTCTCCTCTTGGTTCTGGTTCACAGCCAAGCTGCAAAGTTTTGAATGAGCTGAAATCTTACAAAGTTCACACAGGAAGTGTCAAGTCAAGTCAATTTTTATGTGTATAGCGCCAATTCACAACATACGTTATCTCAAGGCACTTTCCAATATAGAGCAGGTATAGACATTCTCTTTATCTGGGTCTGGGTCTGGGTCTGTAAACTCTTACAAAGTAGTTTAGACAATCATTTTATCTGTGGTTATTATTTTAAGCTTGGTGAGTAGTTTATCACTGATAAGAAAAAATTAATTAAATAAACAAAGATGAAGTGTGAGATACAGTCAACTGATATGAACCCCTTCCTTTAACACCCTGATGAAGCTACACTAACTCACAGTCAGAAAACAGATGATTAGACCATCTGAAGTTTCACGTTGATCATGTTATCAACCATTTTTTGTTAATTTTACTTTCAGTTTTGTGGCTTTATTTTTCTACATGACTCTAACATCAGGTGATAAGACATTTCCCCATCCTAAGTCATTATCATGATACTTAAAAAAAACCCACGAGGTTTAAAGGGAACTGGACTGAAGTTCTGTGTGAGTTAAATCTTAGCAGAGTCCAGCTGAGAGGAATCCTATCCAGTCTGTGAGTCTTGGAATTACTAGTTTAAAAAACAACAACAAACTCAATGGCTACTTTACAGTAGTTTTTCCTTCCTGGAGCTTTCAGCCACACTGATTAAGAAAATGTTGGTCAATGGGATAAGATTTCATTCGTCATGTACTGTAGCACCAACTGTTCAGGTGATTAAAGGCCTCTAGACACATAATTAACTACTGATAAGACTAAATGAATCCATGACTTGGTGCTGGGATTTATGATCAGATAACATCAGGTGTGAACTGGATATTTGCTGCTCAGATCCAAAAACATGTTTGTGACGTTAGCATAGACTGACCCCGGTCTTTAATATGCATCTCCAAATTCAGGATGACCCATAAGAGACCTGTTTACACCTGATGGCCTATGGTACCTTTGAGTCAGGCAGTATTTCACCTGTCAGACTTTTAATGTGAAGGACTCTGTCACAAATTGAAACAGCAGTGGGTTAGATTTTTTAACAATTATTATAATAAATACTTTGAAGACCAGAACATTACAGGTTGGAGGTACTAGTAAGTTTCTGAGACATCACTTCATGGTGAGTAAAAGTCAAGTTTTCAAAGAGCAATACAAAAAAATCTCACAGACCCTCACAACAACCTGAAAGACCAGACCGTCACAACAACCTGAGGGTCTATCCCCTGACGTGATTATTGTGTTTCAGACTTTCCTCTTAACTTTGTTCTGGCTAATGTCTGGAGATTTTTTTACTGTGAAAAAGTGTTAATCAACTGATTAACACTCGGTTGGTCAAGCTGTAATCACTCATTCAGGACAACAAAACTGAAAAAGCAGACTTGAAGAAAAAAACTGAGGAAATCAGCTCCATGAAAGGAGAAGGAAAGGAAAACTTTATCAGGAAGAACAAAAGCGCTCTGACATCACACTAACATCCTGGAGACACGAGTCACAGAACTGGAGAGATACTTGCCGCGCTGGAATCTTCGGCTCAACGGCATACCAGAGAAGATAGAGAGCCAATAGCAAGGAAGTGATTAAATTATATGCCACACTATTTTACCAGAGGATAAGAAGCGCCTACCAAAAGTGATTGAAACAGTCCACCGCCTTGGTGCAAAGAATGCAAATGAGCCCAGAAGCATTATCCAGTTCTCATCCTGGGTGCACAGAGCAGCGGTCTAGGCGGCATTTAAAATCTCAAGGTACCTGCATGATAATGGCCTGCATTTTGCTGAGGATCTCTACAAAATTGACAGGGAAAATCATAAAAAGCTATAGCCGATGGCAGAAGCAGCTGGGAAAGAGGGAAAGGTGGCTTTCTTAGTGGGAGGACACGGCTTTATTGATAACAGAGAAATTCTCCCTCCAACTTCATAATCCGGAAAGCATAATGAAGCTACAAAATAATAAATACTTACAGAAAATAATTAGTTCTTGCTTATCAGGTATTTGAAAACACAAGCCACTTATTTTTTAGGGCCCAGACACCAAAGGGTGCAAGGACCCTATTGAAATTGTACCGTTTCTTATTATTATTTTCCTTCCATAAAGTAAATCTCCTTTTTGAGGCCTTTCCCATATTCAAAAAGTCATGAAACTTTGCATACGCATCAGGCCTGGTGAAAATGTACATCTGGTATGGGTCTCACACATGGGTGTGGCAAAATGGCTCAACAGCGCCACCTAGAAAATTTCAAGAAGGCCTTTCCTATACCCTTGGTTTAACCTACATGCACGAAAATCGGTAGGCACATGCCAAGACTTACAAAAAAGCCTCTTGCGCCCATACCTTCAACCAAACAGAACTCCTCCTAGGGAATTCATCGACATGATCTGTGGTCAGCCTCATCTCAAGACCTTTGCGATGTTAAAGTTATGAAGCTATTGAGTTTTCGCTGTAGGACCCGCCCCTGATGGCGTGGCGAATTTAAATCCTTCACCATTAAAAATCAACTCACTCTCATTTCAACACAAATTGTCCAAACTGCCTCAACCTTTCTGTTTGTGATACAGAGCCTAATGTGTGCTCATTATGTCGTCTCTAGCTCCACCTAGTGGTCAAACTTGAGAATGCATATAAAATCTTTTAAATCTTTTCTGCTACCACACAGTCCGTCTTAACCCATGAGCGCGGTGTTCGGCAGTCGTTACGGTGTGCGACGCTTCAAATGGCGCGCCGCAAGCCCCCCTGAGTTGCACAGGAGTGCGAGGGCCTGCTCAACGCTGCTTGCAGCTTTAATGTTTTATTTGTTCCTACACTGAATGCACTTATGTTTTAAAGGAGTTTTAAATCAAAACGCAACTGGACTTGATTATTTGTCTGGGAAGACGTTTCACCTCTCATCCAAGAGGCTTCATCAGTTCGTGTACGCATCTGACCAGGCTGGGACTGGTCTAACTTACTGGTGTGGAGACCCAAGTATTTAACCTCTTGTGGGCGTTCACAAGGCTGATGATGTCATTGGTTTCTGTTTGTGCTCCAAGTGTCAACGACAGTCGTTTGCACGACCGTTGTTGGTGGGAAGTTGGTTTCGACTTCGTTAGTGCTCTATTGTGTTATAACGACAGTCGTTGGAGTCACTTGGGATCAATGACAGTCGTTGGCATGACTATCGTTGGTGGAAAGTTGGTTTCGACTTCGTTAGTTCTCTACGACAGTCGTTGGAGTCATTTGCCACTTGTGAACAGTTGTCATTCTTTGAGGCTAGATTGTTGAATCTCCTGGGAAGGGATGAAAGGGCAGCATTGTAAATTGGAGATAGGTGGTGTCTGAGACCTCCTCCCCTGTTGAGCGTTGGTTTGCTCTACCTTTACCATAGATGGCCGCTTTTTACTCCTCTTTCGAACCACGCTGTCTCTCTGCTTACGGCATGGTGAACGATTGCTGCTCCTCAATAGGAGTGGGCTTTCTCCCTTGAGATGTAAATGGACAGCAGCAGTCTAAGGCCTGAGGAGTTGGCTTCCTGTCCATGAGCGGCATGCGTTATTTCAATGTTTTTTGTTTCTCCAATGTAGAGGTCATTGCATTCCTCGTTGCATTGCATACACCAGATTGCTTTTGCGGGTGTGTGGTGTTCGTCCTTGGATGTACCAGCCTCTGTCTGAGTGTGTTTGCTGGGTTTGAAATACACAGGGATATGGTGTTTGTTGAAGATCCTCCTGAGTTTTTCCGAAACTCCAGACACATATGGAATGACTATGTTGTTTCTCTGTTTTGTTCTCTCAACCACTTTGCTGTTTTTCCTTCTGGAAGTAGCTGCAGATTTCACAAAGGTCCAGCTAGGTAACCACAAGTTATGAGGGCATCCCTCAGGTCCTGGCCTGTGAGCTGTGGGGCACGTTATCAGCTCTGTGTTTGCAGGTAGTTCCAGGGTGGTGTGAGTCAAAAAGTAGATATTGGTCTGTGTGTGTGGGTTTTCTGTATACCCAATGTG